GAGGACGAATCCTCCAGCTCGATTGGAGCAACCGGCTGCAAGAGAAGATTAGCTACATCTGGAGTTACCTCTTGCAAGTCATGCTCGTCATCCTCCTCGAGTACAGGTGCATCATACTCGGGAACACTTGATGCTGGGTCACTGCTGGCGATCACTGCCTCGAGCTGCGAGGACAGTGCTGGGAAATCCTCCGCTTTCTTGTCCGCTGTTGCGGCAGGAGTCTGCACGCGAAAAATGTCAAGGAACAAGAAAAAATGACAGAAACGAGCGAGCTGTACACACCTCAAGGAGGAGGATCTTCAATCCTGTTGCCTGTGTGCTTGCTTGTGTGCTTGCCTGTGCTGGAGCGCGTCGCAACCAGGAGAGCGCCAATGCTAGAGCTTCCATCGCCGCCAATATAATAGGGCAGGGTTACTATGTAAAGTATCGATTTAGAAGATATCGAAGGAATATATGTAAAGAGATTTGCTCTCAACGATTCTGGAGATCGTGAAAGATCTCGAGAGCTGTAAATAGTAGACTCGCCCTGGACCGAAAATGCGAGGGAATATGTTGTCCTGATCGAGAAGAACAAAAATCAAGACAAGAAAAAAAGGAGAAGAAAAGGAAACTTTGTCTGTGCGACACAGAGACGTAAGACGATCTTGATGCTCGGGCCCTGGCAGTGGAGATCACCCAGGAGATCACGTCCTTTGCTGGCATTCTCTCGAATCTGGGCCTCACCTCCTCGATCGAGCCCGCAGCACTATCGTCCAGGTCCCAGGATCGCGTTCCAGGACACGCTGATGCATCGCATCAAACAGCCGCTAGGATCGGATCATCTCGTTCCAAGAGACGAGATGATCTCATCATGGATTTCCTCCGCGTCTCGCAAATGCCCGGCCTGGGTGCACGCTGTCATGGCCAGATTCCAGGCGACCTCGTTGCGCTGCGGCATGAGATCAAAGACGCGCTTCTCTTCATCGAATCTCCCAGATTGCAAAAACCCTGACAAGATCATCGTCAAAGAAACCACGCTATTCCTGGGCATTTTCTCAAAACGCGTTCTGGGCATACTCTGGATGCCCTGATTTGGCAAATGCGTGATAAGCATATTTCACACCACGACGTCGCGGATGGGCATCCTATCAAACCAAACAGTTTAGATCTACTCTGGAAAATCAAAGCCGATGGAGGCTCTGGAATGAGGCTATGATCTTTTCCTGGCTATTATTTTGGTGTTAAAATCCTTCTATCTCGCGGCTCAAGAACTCGCGAGCGCTATTGTGGAACTCGATCCTACTGCATCAAGCGTAAGCATGCCAGTAATATCTATCTATTGCTCAATCAATTCTGTACAAAGAAGCTTCGAAACAGAGAATGTTGGAAGGTTTCTAAGCCTTGACATTGTCACTCACCTCCCCTGCCTTGTCCTCGGCACCAGCACTAGTTGCCGTGTCCTCCTCTTCGCAAGGCTTGGACAGCGTCGCTTCCTCTTCCGCTGGTTTCTCCTCGCGCGCTCGATCACCACTTGGCTCGGGAGATGCCTGGTTCTTTGGTAGCTGCCAGGGAACGAACAATTCAATCTCTCTTTCGAGCCGGGAGAGGAAAAAAAACGAAAAACCAAGAAAGATATACCTTGCTCCAGCTGATCCGCGAGAAAAGGCCCGGCTTGCGCGCTGGCTCCTCCTGAGAGTCTGTCGATTTCCCAGACTCTACAGGGCTGCTGGGCTTTGGCTTTGGTGTAGCAGCCTCGGTGCTCCTGTAAGGAAGACAACTAAATTCACGTACTAAATGTTGGTGTTTACCTTGGTGAGGAAAGAGGCCAGGACCATTTAGAGGGCTCCTCCTCCTTCTGGCGTCGGAGGTTTCCGGTCTGTCCGGCCTCGTACTGTAGAGTTGCTTCCAGCATTGTCTCGGCCATCACTGCTCTCTTTTCGAGAGCCGCAAACTTGTCCATCAGCTGCTCATATTTTTCCTGTGAATTTAAAGATTCAGTAAAACTGGACGACTTGCTAGTAATCTGGTGTTACCTGCATTACTGTGGCAGCATGCCGTTGTGCCGCAGCATCTTGCTCGGCAAAACACCGCGCGTCTTCAGTAAGTTTCTGCTCTTGTTCAATTCTCAGCATAACCTGCAAAGACATTACGGAGTTTCAATTTCTCTTCCAGTTTCTAAGATGACTGACCTGCACCATGGCCTTTTCTTGCTCCTGCTTGTCAGATAGCATCTGTTTAACAGTAGAAAGTTCAGCTTCTAGGCTTTCCACCTATACACGAGCTGAAGTGAGAGAGAGAAAAAATGAAAACTTGGATCTCTCGAACCTTTGCAGACAATTCTCGCCTGTTATCGTCTTTGACGATTTCCATCAAAGCCACGTCTAATTCCTCTGCCCTGTAAAACCACTTTGTACACACTTGGAAAAACCTAGGCAGGCACTCACCTGGCCGTTGCTCTTTTCTTTTCCTCGAGCGCGAGACACAGCTCATTTTTCAGCCAGGCCACCTAAACACCATAAACAGTTAGTAAGAAAAAAGGTAGGAAAAGAAATCCAGCGTACCTGCTCTTCCAAGTCAGCAGGATCCTTCTCGTCAATTTCTTCGTCTTCCTCGTCTATTTCTTCAATATCACCTGACTCAGCAATGATTTCCGCCGTGGTGATTTCCTTGGTAGACGTGTTCAGTGAGCTCAATTTCCTTGAGAGCTTTTTGACAAGAGCGCCTTGGGAACTCCTCCATAAACGAAGCTCGGCTGCTCGTTCATCAAGAGTTGCTAAAACGATTGGCCGGTATTTGGTCCGAAGCGCCTCCAGCCGTTCGATTTTTTGAAAACCCATGCAAGCGGTCAAGACAAGCTGACTGCTATCAAATGTTGCACCGGTCACTGTTTGCATCACCGAGATACAATCGCCAGCGTCACGTGAGGCCAGAAGAGCAGGAGCTGAGACAGGTTAAGAGATTAATAACGTTGATATTGCATACAGAAAGCAACTTCTAACCATGAAGCTCCAAAAGAGCAAGAGCAGTGCGAAAAAGCATAGTTCGGTTGCCTTCAAAAAGCAAGACATCCCATACTCTCAAAACTGCACAAGTTAATTTTCATCAGCGGAAAGTGGAAATGCATTTAAATTGTACTGACCACTTTCCCAAGGTAGGACGTTCACAAATATAGATAGGAACCAGGGTCCACTCATCCACGATATTTGAACACCAAGGGATTCAAAATGCGAAACTGTAAAAGTGCCACTTGGCTCAATACCCGAAGAGAATAAAGCTCAAACAAGTACTTAGCCTCGGAAACTGTTCTCGAGCAAGCTCTTCAAAGACAAGTTGGTCCACCTGCAAAATTCTGTTATACGGTGCACCACGATTTCTGTCATAAAAACCTGTGCTTCTAAAAGCTTTTCGGAGTAGTAGCCTTGGAAGTACTCGTCTATGATACCGGTCAATGTCCTGGTACACATGCATAACAACTCGACTTCTAAATCGAAATTGAAAGAGCTGAACATACCAGAACGCATTTTCCTCCGGCATCAGCAAAAGAAGCAACCCAGCAAAAAAATTCATGGCCTGCAAGTATTCAAGACGATCTTTTAACACTTAAGACTACTAATCTTCAACCAACCTGACAGTATCCAACGTCAGGATTATGTCGTGCGTATGCAGTCAAAAGCCTGCGCAATGCGTTCCGACCATCTTCATCTAGAGCTGGATGACCAGGAAAAGTTCGCGGTAAGTCCTACACCAGAAAACATCGAACTGAATTTACATTATACTATCATGGTATAGTACCTTTTCAATTTGGTTCACATATTTTTCTTGTGCTGGAACAGAGGGAGGTTCGTCATGGTGTGTATAACCATTAGCATTCCCATTTCCATTGCTTGATGGCTTTTCCAACAAACGTTCATAGTGTCCTTCAACTCTCCTTGTCTTGGTGCGAACAAACACTTGCCAAAGCTGCCCGAAAGCAAAACGAAACTGAGAACGTACGAAAGCAAGAAACAGAGTTACCTCCCCTCGCAGAGCCATAGGAACGCCGCCTCGAACAAGGAACTGCAGCTCTTCTCTCCATGGACTTTCTTTTCCATGAATGGCCGATTCGCTGTCTGACTGGTCACTGGAAACTAAAGAATCAGCAACAGCATCCGACTTGTCCACGTCGTAAAACTCATCGTCCGAGTCATCAATATCAGATGCTCCGCTATCTGTTTTCCGGGTCTTCAAAACGTCCCCATTTTCTAGTGGTTTGGTTGCATGCTGCTGCCTGCCGGCATTAGTCGCAATTCCTTGTTCCACAATGTTGAGAGACGGCCTTAATTCACCCCACCTCTGGACAACTCTATTTTCACCGTCAGGCTTCGCATTAACTTCACTGTCTGATGAAGCGTCCTTTTCAGCTCCTTTGGTGGCTGAAAAATCCGCAGCATCACCGTAAGTTCTCAGGAAATGCTCCCAGCGCTCAGATCTTTCGGCTTCTTCTTCCTACACAACTCGCTAGGATAAGTACTTTGAAAGAGTAAACTAGAAAAACGCGTTAAAACTACAAAGCACCTTGTAAATCGATGTGAACTCCCGATACCTTTGCAAATGCTGTGGCCTCAAGATGAATCCATACATATCCCTGGATCAAGAAGAGTTCATGAGAAAAAATCGATATCTACCTGCATTGCCACATACCTGCTCAGTTCCAAGGGCGCGGATCCCTTCTTTCGCGCCCTGCTCATCGCCTTCCTCATTGCAGCCTCCTCCTATAGCTGCATTTCCCCGGAATTCCTCTCCGCAAGCGCCGGAAGAGCGAATTCCCGCGGAAGAACACGAAATTTCCCAGATCCGCTACTCTGCCATCGCTAGCGGGCACACCATGGCCGGCGCAGCTGCAATGCGGGGATGGATTCACCTGGAGCGAGCTCTAGAAGGACGAATCCGGGCTCCAAGACGCCGGCGATGGTGATGGATAGAACCCTAGCCCTTGCCAAGCCCGTGTGATGAATGGCGCTGGCTCTAGGTAGAAGGCAAAATACTCGCAATGGTCTAGTGTAAATGGGCGTGTCCTCAAAACGAGGGCTTGTAGGTAAACAAAGCAAAGCCTACTTTTAAGATAGTGGCTAGCTAGCAAAAAATGCGGCGACACACTTTAAAACCGCGTTTCGATTCCTGCCCGTGACATATGCTCTTTCACCAAAGCTATTGGAACCTGGAACAAACACCTCGTTGGAGACAAAGCTTTACAAAGTAAAGACTTACTTCCTTTCTGTGAAAGATCCCTGCGGCCAAAGCCGCCGACGCTGGCGTCTCGGAGAAAACATCTGAGAAGTGATCCACAGTCCCGGCACCGCTGCTTGCAATCACCGGAATTTTCACGGCCTCGGAGATTAACTTCACGAGCTCCAAGTCGAATCCTTCACCTCGGCCTGTTTAAGCTTAAGTTGGGTATGAACATCCGTTCAAAGAATAAGAATTCTCTCGGTACTTACCGTCGCAGTCGATGCAATTAAGAAGGATCTCTCCGGCGCCGAGTTCCTCCACCGCTTTTGCTAGCTCGAAAGCTCCGATCGGCCTGCCTTCCCTGCCACCATTAACCTGTGAAAACCAGCTTTGTAAGTACGAAAGATACGAAGAGATGGAAGACTAATAAAAAGGCGTACCGTGCACTGGTACCAAGCGAATTGCTCGCCGTTAGGCCCTGGACAAGCCACTTTGACAGTCTTGTAAGGTACTTCGCTCGGACTTTTAACAAAAACCTTGCGTGGATCTATGCTGACCACCACTGCCTGCGCAACAGTATGAAAGATTCGTCCGACCGTCACGCTGAGAAATTTTAATACCTGGTTGCCGTAAACATATGAAATTTGCTCCAGGCTTGTGTTTCCGGTCTTTTGCTGGGATATGAAATGGTGTTAGCAGATAAATGAGGAGATTTATGGAAGAAAATCACCCCAGATTTTATGTACTCCTCAGCGGCGTAAACGGCATCGCTCCCGATGGATATTTTATCCGCGCCGGATCTAAAGTATTCCGCTGCAACCTCTAGACTGGAATAATATCTGAAAAACCACAATCCAATGATTCTGTGAAGTTTTAGAAGCACTGAAATTTTACCTTCCATCCTTGTCGGTAAAATCCTTGATTCCTCCCCCAACTGTTAGAGGAACAAAAACCTTCTCAGACGCTTTTCGTAAAACCTGGTCCAATGACATAAAAGTTTGTTGTCAATTTGCTGTTTCGTATTTTACCTCCAACATTGGTAAGTCCCCCAGAGGAGAATTTCTGAAGCCGGTTATGTTCAAAAATGTTACCTGAAAGATGAATGAAAAAGTATAATTCATCGCAGGCAGCTTACTTCATCGGCCCCATCCATATAATAAGAGCTGGCCAAATCTACGGGTTTTCCCAAATTGCGCACCTAAACCCAGCGTTGATATCCCGTTTTCAACAAAACAAACTTTCAAACACGAACACTACCTCTCGTGTTTCAGTGTGTTCTCTCACATCGTATTGATCACCCTTCGTGACCACAAGATCACCTCTATCATTCGTTCGAACGTCAAGGCAAGCAATCACCTGTTAAGTGAAGAATGATTAGAATGATATCCTAATGGCTTGTCTACCATACCCGTTTGGCCAATTGCACCGCTGTCTTTCCTGGCTCTGCTTCTTCTGCTTGTTTCGCGACTCTCTAAAACAAACTCTGATGTAAGAGCTGCTTAAAAGTAAGAAAACTTGTTATAAGTCACCTCTGCTGCTTCAGACTGACCTCCTCCAAGAAATCTTCGAATAATGTTAAGCCCGGTTACTGCAAAAGAGACATTCGCAAATCTGAAAGTCAAAATGCCCACTCATCGCCTTAGAGACGAGGGCGCTCGGCGTTACACGAAACCCGTGCTCGAAAGAATGTAGCTAACCTCCACTCTTCTCGGGATGGAACTGAGTGCCATGCACATTTCCTTTTCTTACTGCAGCAATAAAGTCTGTTCCATACGTGCTCGTAGCGAGAACCCAGTCTTTGTTCTCGGGAGTCTGTAAGAAAAAAGAGTTCCAGAAAGAATAGAAGGAAACATAGCTAAAAGTATAGAATAGAGTGCAAAGAATACCTCGACTGCTCGGTACGAATGCACAAAGTAGACATGGCGACCTTTGACGCCATCCAGTATCGACGCATCTTGCTTTAAGTGAAGAGCATTCCACCCGATGTGTGGAACTTTGAGGCCCGAGGATTCGTCGAAGCGTTTAATGCCACCGGGTATGATACCAAGCCCCTCCACTGTCATGCATCGTGTTTAAGACTGAAAGCATGACTTTTGAAAGACTCACCGTAGCCAGTTTCTTCTCCATACTCAAACAAGAGCTGCAAGCCCAAGCAGATGCCAAGGAAAGGACGATCTTCCTGGACATACTCGCGTAGAGCTTCGATTAGACTGCAAGATTTTAAAGAGATAAGTCTCTAGATTTCAGGAAAAACACGAAACATACCCTCTGTTTTTGAGAGAATCCACTGCAGCCCAGAAGGATCCGACTCCTGGAAAGATCAAACGCGTAGCTTTCTCGATGTCCTTGGGCCCAGTCACCTAAATTCGCAGAGAAAATAAGGAAATGCTGGCCGTGAAGGAAAAGTCCTTACGTCTTTGATGTGAAATCCCATAAGCTGGATCGCATTCCGGACGCTTCTAACATTCCCGGCCCCATAATCCAGCAAAGTAACCTCTAGCAGAGCGTTTGCGTGAGCTAAAACATTGCGAGCTTGACGATGGATGAGGCTTACCGGGACGATTTTGGCCGATTGGCGTAGCTCCAATGGCGCAACGCGCGCCTAGCGCCATGCTCTGAGACTTAGGGTTCTTCTTTCCCAAGGGTTTATGAGGTTTGTTTAATGAAACACGCATTTTAATTTATTTTACTAATAAATTTTCCAAACTGTGCCCTAAGCATGTATTCTACCAATTAAATTAATTTTGCTCTAATAGCGATTTAATGCATAAACGCTCGAGATCTATTGGAGGGATTTTTGCATAAAAAGTTGAATCTCTCAGTCTTATTGCACCACTCGTATCATAATCTATATGAAAACAATTGATTCCACACGCTAAAATCCGTGATTTTTTTCATTCGCAACCAAGAATTAAAATATCTTTAAAACTAGAAACACCAATTTGCAACCTCAAAGCTTCTGCAAAGCCCAAAATCTTCAGGAGGCACCCTAGCCTTCCAAAGATTATAGATAATTGTTATTTTTATTTGAAAACATTTTTATTGATAGAGGGAGCTAGCTATCAAGCTCCATCTAGCAAAGCGCACAGCTGCCAGAGCAATTGCAAGAGAGTGGCCATGGATTGCAAACTCCCACCTGACATTTCATGCACCTGTAGACATTTGGAGCCACAAGCTCAGGATGGCAAGACTGGCAGTATGCAGTGCATATCCCATTGAGCTTTGGGCAGAAATCCACCTGATTATTACATTTTGGTGGCGGTGGTGGTGCCTGAGCCATGACATTAGCCACAAACATAAAGCACACCAAGAGAGTGGTAGCAAGCTTGAAGAAAGAAGCCATGATTTTCGTAATGAGAATTCCAAGCAAAACACTTGCATTTTATTCTCGATTATAGGGTCTTATCGATCTACCACAAGATTCAATCGCATCCAGAATAATATTTCTAAGATCTTTTAAAATTTCAAAATTGAAGTAAAGACCTTTACTTTACTCCATAATGCCCTAGTGAAGAGCCCTAATTATTTCTCGCGATGGATTGGCAGTGGCGCTTCCTGATGGTTGCATTTTTGGTGTCGCTCAGCCACGGAGAACCTTTGTAAGCTCTTCTATGCACCTCTCTTTGCGCTTGAAGTGTTTTCTCCAGAGGCGATTCATCGTTTAGCTGCAATAACACGGTCCAGGGCCCTCATCTTCTCGCTGACAGTCAAGGTATGGCATTTTCTCTCGTTTTTCTCTTCAACTTCTTTCTGGTTGGGATGTAGGATATGTTTGTAGCGTTAGAAACATTGATTTTGGGAGAGGATGCTGTCCAGAAGAGGGGCAACAATTCTCTTGCTCGTAAGTGGTGTTTCCTTTTGATTTCTCAATATCTGGATCCTTGAATTTGCTACGACAGAGGCTGTAACTTAGTTTCTCAGTGCTGTAACACTTTCGAGTACTGCGTTTCTTGCTGCTTGGATCCCATTCATGTAAGACCAAGCGGAGGTTTTTCGCCTTTCTTTCTTATTATCTATTGCGCTTGCAGACGTCCAAGGAGTTTGCGCTGAGCTCCAAATCCGCGAGGCAACTTACTGCTGGTAAGACTAATTTGTGTCGTTGTTCAAGAGGATCTAACGTTTTCCTCTCTATAGCAAATTTTGTATCAGTTTTTGAGTACTGTACTGGAAGATGTCGCCACAATTCTGGAAGTGTGGTATTTCATTTCTAAAACTTTCCTCGATCTCTTCCAGTACTGATCTCGAAGTGCTACAGGTGCATGAGAATGCGTACACTAGTGAGTATCATCACTGCTTTTTTACTCAAACGAACTTATCATCTGGACGCGGTAAAAAATTATTTACTTTGCAAAGAAATGTTTTGAGAACCTTGATGTTTTTGTAGATCACGGAGTTGAAGCAGGCGAGAACACAGATTATTCACTGATAACTGGCAGGTAAAAAATCCTCTTTGTTTTTTTTTGCCGATTGTTATATCAACTTTGTGTAAATACTAAATACACAGACGTGGTCAGTCTTGCGATGAAGCATGTCGTCAGAGAGGCAAGAAATGCAAGGCCTCTATTCTTCCTTTGATCAACGAGTGCTCTGTGTAAGTCCTCCATAAACCTTCTCGAAGCTCAAACTCTTGTCGCTCTAAATTCTTAATTCTTGAAACAGGCTCCAGAAGAGCATGAATTGCAAGGGCGCTTGCGTCTCCGGATCGGGACCAGACCTGCCATCGGAAGTTGTGAGCTCGGCTCCAAGACACCTCGTAAGATCTTTCCAAAAACGTCTTTTTTGTTTGCTCGTTTTTTTTTTTCTTCGTTTTCAAAAATTTTCTTTACAGCATCCAGGAGCATGCGTATTCAATTCCAAGAACACACTGCTTTCATGCCAGGGTGCTCATCGTTACACAAAGAGGTTATGCCCGTGTGGATAGACAAAGGGACGGGAATGGTCCCAGAGCGTTCTCTCGGTCGGGTTGAGGTGCTACTTGTGATGGAGTTGTAGAGAGCAAAGCCGCGCCAGTCGGAGACGCCATAGAAACTAGGCAAAGCAGTCTCGCCACAAGGTATCAGTTAAGTTCCAGAGGTTGCAGCAGAAAAACAAGCCTCTCCGTCGAGAGCTCCCTTCACTTGGACTCCTGCTAGTGTGGAATTCAGCGCGGTGCTCCATGGCATAGCAGCATGAAGAGTCCAAGGCATCGTCTCCATAGCTCCACCAGAAGGCAACTCGCGCTCTTGAGGTAAGTTGCATTTCCTACTATTCTTCTAACTCGGTTGTCCACAGTTCAGGGTCTGAGCGAAGGACTACCATGTGGATATTGAAGCTCGCTCTAGAGGTACTTTCATTTCTTACATGGAGTGGCTCATTTTGAGCGGTGAGAGCAAATCACAACAACAAAAATCTTCTTATTTTACAGGAGAAACGAAATGAAAAACTTTCTCTCCATTGCTTTATTTCCTGTAAAACAATGAGCCAGCACTCCGTTCCTTGATGAAACTTACGTGATGTTCTTTAATCTTCTTTCTCAGAGAACAGCAGAAATCGTGCACTGCTTCATTCATCTGGTTTTGTTTGACGTGATGTTGTTTAGTCCTCGTCCTCGAGAGCCACGGGAGACTCCGGGCCGACGAGAATGTTGGAAGGAAATACATCCTGTGGTTCTGGGTACAGTAGCTGGGTTTTCCCCTGAACAACCACCCAACAAAAAGTTATGGTGTCATGCTTAATCCAAGTCCTCTCACCTTTAAATAACGGTTGAGCAGTGTTGTAGTACTGTGATTAAATCCTTCTACGGGCTTTCCTTTCGTTCGTGAAGCGTTCATCTGTGTGCGAACTCGGGATGCAAGCACCTGAAAATGAAAAGGTCGGATTTTCGATTGGTTTCAGTCGAGAATGATGGGAGGACAAGTGTACCTTGCCGAGTTCCACGCCCCACTGATCGAAGGAGTTGATTCCCCAGATAAATCCCTGCACCGCGATCCGGTGCTCATACAAAGCTAGAAGCTGGCCAACTGTGTATGGCTTTAGAGTTGGTAGCAGCATGCTCAGGGATGGACGGTTGCCGGTGAAAGTCTGCAAGAACAAGGTAACTGTAGAGCGGCAAGGAAAGAACCTTCAGGAACTTACTTTGTGAGGAATCAAATAATCTGGGACACCTTCCGCTCGAAGTTCCTCGGGGGTCTGAAGAAGAAACATTTAGACCGTGAAAGAAACACGAGAGATTCCTTACCTTGCCATAAGCCAACGCATCTGCTTGGGCGAAAAAATTGCACATAAGCTCGTCGTGGTTACTGACAATCTCATCTGAATGTTTGAATCGTCAGCCTGTGGTAACGAGAGTAATAAAAATCTTCTTACTTCTCAAAAACACTGATTGCTGGCTTTTGATGATTCCAATGAAGTCGCATGGAACAACTCTACCCTGGGACGCACGAGAACAAGTCAAAAGGGCAAGAACATACTACTTGAATTTTATAGCATACCTGGTGGATTAATTGGTAGAAGCTATGCTGACCATTGGTCCCTGGTTCTCCAAAGTCAATCTCTCCTGCCTCATAATCGAGTACTTTTCCATCAATCGTGACTCCCTTGCCGTTGCTTTCCATGCTCACCTGTAAAAAGGCAAGGCACAATTGTTTACTTTATAAACATGGAGAAGAAGTACGTACTTGCTGGATATGTGGAGCCAATTTTTGCAAGGCTTGACAATATGGCAGGATAGCCTACATGGTTGATCATGCAGCAATTTAGCTCACATAGAATGCTGTGGGACCGTACCAGTGCGGGACATCCAAGAAAACTCGCATTCCATACGCTCAATAGACCCAATAGAACCTGAAAATGACACTTCATAAGTTCTACACTGATATCAGCAATATACTTACAGGCAAGTTATTCTCAAAAGGTGCGGTACGAAAATGCTGGTCAATGCTCCAAGCTCCCTCGAGGAACCTATAGTGCAACTTTGTAAAACCCTGTTGACTAGACAATAATAGCATACTTAGTAATGTTGTCAAATCCATATTGTAGAGACAATGGGAGCACCCCAACAGCACTGCATACTGAAACGACCGAGACATTAAGTAAAAGCACAGGAAGCTTCTTGCTCAGATTTACTCACCACTATAGCGACCTCCAACCCAATCCCAAAAAGCAAACGCATTTTCAGGGTCGATGCCAAACTCTTTCACGAGCTGTCACAAGATCACGCTACAAAGTTCGGAAAAGGAAAATTTTAATCGCACCTTCACGTTTGTACTGATAGCAACCATGTGCTTAGAGACTGCATTTGACCTGTAACATCAGACATCAACCGCAACCAGTCACACAATCCAGCCACTGTTAAAACACATACCCAAGCGCCGATGTGATCCAGGACCGCACAGTCCTTGCATTTAACATAGTTTCCGCGGTTGTGAAGGTTTTGGAAACGATCACCACTACAAAGTGAGAGAATAATTAACTATAGAAACTTCAACAAAACGCACATACCAAGGGTTGTTTCTTGCTTCAAACCATTCAAAGCCCGCGCAACGTCAATAGGATCTACATTTGAAAGGCTGCGCTTAAACAAAAAAGAAACGTTTAAAAATCTTAAACGCAAGAACATACTTACAATCGAAGTTTTCGATTACGCGCAGCTTTGGCAGTCTCAGGCTCTGCACGGACACGGCGTTAAAAAGGGAAGCTTCAAGTTGGTTCAAAAGACCTGTTTGCAAAGCTGTATGAACAAAAAGAGGGCCCAAAAAGCTTCCACCGATTCCTATCGCTACAACATCTGTTAGGGGTTTCCCTGTAGCTCCCACCTAATAGATAAACGCAGATTAGCAAACTACCTCAAAACAAAGAAAAAAAAGACAAAAACAAAAAGTTTTGGGGTCACTTACCCAGGTGCCACTTCGCACTCTATCTGAAAAATCCTTGATTTTGTCCAGTACTTCCCAGACGTCTGGAACAACATCCCGACCACTCTCGAAAATGTGTTCAGTTCTTGGAGCTCTAAGCGCCACATGAAGAACCGCCCGATCCTCGGTGCTATTGATCTATAACAAAAGAATGGTGATCAACAAGATTTTCAAGATTAGGAGGACCAAAGACTCTTTACGTGTTCTCCGATAAACATCTTCTTTATTTTCTCCTCCAGCTTTGCTTCCTGTCCAAAACAAGAATGAAGATAGAGCCAAAAAGAAAGGAAAGATGCAACCAACCTTGGAAAGCGAAAAAAGCTTTTCCATGGTTTTTTGCGTTGCTCGCTGCCTAGAAAAGTCTATCAATATCCCGTCATGCTCCCTGCACCACGAAAAACAAATTTTTTGTCATACAATCATTTTCTATAATTTTGTCAAGGCTTACTTGATCATCCCCTCGCATCGAGACGTATCAGTCAAAAGCTCCCTCAAATGCGTCTTGTTGATCTCCGCGACATGATCCTACACACATTGTCCGATCAATCAGCTCGCGAGAAGAAAAGGTAAAGAGAAGACGCTACACTCACCTTCAAATCGATCCAAGCCTCACTCTCGGATATCAATCCAGTAGCCGCCATGATATCGCCAATCGCCTGGAAAAGCACTGCTCGATTGAGAATATTTCTTCCAAAATATCGATCATAGAACCTCTACAGTGACGCCGCAGCGAGTATTCCTGGCGATGCTCCTGCCGGCGTGAGATAAGGCGATCAAGGATTTCTTGCAAATCGGCGCTCTGCGCATCCAAATCAATCGATGGAGATGGAGATTGGGGTTTCCAGAGGCGCGAATTGCCTTGGGAGGAATCAAAGAGATGGATTACCTGCTTAGGGGCAGCGCCGATGGCGCAGCTCCACTGGAAGGCGATGGAAGTCGCTGCTCCGGCGAGGCCGAGAGGGGCTGGTGTGAGGAAATGGCAGCATGGACTGACAACACCATAGCTAAATTAAATCTCCCAGCCTCTAATGACATGCCCGCTTTAAGCCCACTCAAATGCCGCCACGTAGCAGCCTCTGTTTAGGGCAGGAGATGGAATATTACACTCTTGCGCTTTCATCGCTAGGGTTTTGAAAGGAGAGAGCGCGCGGGCATGGCGGACAAGCTCGTCGCGGCCGCGCTCCAGGAGATTGCGGCCGAGGGAGAACAAGGTTAGTGGTGGCCGGCATTTTTCTTCTTCTCCAGCCGATCGATCGCTTTGCGCAGGATGCCTTCTCGCCAAACTCTGGGCCTTCCTCCAGGCCACGCCCGCGGGGCTGGAAATTCACGTTGACGATCACGTCAAGCAGGCGGTGTGGCGGGGATTGCTCGCGGTGCCGGGGCTGAGCTTCAAATTCTCGGGCCAGTCCAATGCAGCAGCAATGCCGGCCTCGGACCCCTCGATTCAGTCTTTGCAGAGCGCCGAGAGCTTGGAATTGGTCGTGGTTGCCTCTCAGGACATCCGAGATGCGTGCTTGGGTCTCTACGATATCAGGCACGCCGACACACAGCCTTCTCAGATTCAACACTCCATTCTCGAGCGTCTTGCTAAGGCACGGTACGTGAAATTCGCGATTGCAGAGAACTTGAGTTGATAGTTTGGTCTTTTCGGATTTTTCTTCCAGGACTGAGGGAGTGACACAAAATCAGCTCGGTAAGGATTTCAAGGTGGAAGGAAACAAGCTTTTTTATATCCTCCGGAGCCTCGAATCGCGTGGCCTGGTCGTGAGGAGGTCCACGCTTGTGAGGAATAAGGACACAGCGAAGGGTGGAGGCTCGATAGTTTTGACAAACTTGGTCCATCTTACGAGATACGCCAGGCATTTAACTTTGAATTCGCACCAGCGGTTTGAGATATCCAATGGTGCCGAGGACGCTGCGTTTCCAGAGGATCCCGACGACGCTGATGACAATCACTCCAAGGGGAAGCATTTGATGATCAACGACGACTTGCCTGCCATGAAAGCTATCTGTGATAAGCTGCAACAAGCGGAGGGCAAGGTTCGCTAGAGGATTTTGGACTTTTGGCTCGCTAACTGTGGAATTTTCTGTGAAGGTCCTTGTCGTCTCTGATCTGAAGCTTACACTCGGCTATCGAATGTCTTCTGGACACCGTGCTTGGCGGAGGGTTAGTGGTGTTTTTCCTCTTCACGAAGATTGCATGCTTAATTATGTTTAAACAGCTGATGAAAAGGCTGAAAGAGGCAGGTTTTGTCACCATTATAGAGGCAAAAGTGGGCCGCAAGGTAAAAATCTGCACTACATGTTCCATAAACGCATTGTGCTATGTCCAGGTAAGATCCTGCATTCAGCTGCTGAAGGCTTTCAACGAACACGAGTTTAGCGCTTCTACCTCTGTTGAAGCGGATACCGAGCAACAGTTGAAAGGCCCAAAGAGAGGTCAAGTTACGGAACAGCTTGTGGAACTTTCTGTCGATCAACAGATTTATGACATGATTGATGAAGGGGGGAGAGAGGGCCTGATGATGATGGAGGTAAGGTACGACATACGTAAACTTCAATAATTGTAACCTTCTGTTGTTGCATAGGTTTGGAAGAGGATTGGACTTAATAACAAGAGAAACTATTACCGGATTCAAAACATGACCATAAAGAACGGCATTCTTTTCGAAGCGGAGAATCACAAGCGCTCAACATTGTATCGACTGAGAACCACTCACCGCACAAGAGAGGTCCCTGCAGAACAGGATGAAGATACTCAAGATCCACTTGAAAATATGGAAGAAGCTACGGTGCCTTCGAGTGACAGCCTCAAAAGAGTTCAGAAGCTTCCTCTGATTCGCAAGAACGCGAAGAAGGTCGAAAGCGATTCATTGACAGAGTCCATGGTCAAGATTGATACCGAGACGGATGCTGGAAACACAGTCATTACAACCCTGCCAGCTACGGAGGCTCTCAGTCCAGCTATTAACGAAACTCCCGAAGGGATGGATATTACGCCGGTTCCTACTACGCCAGCCAGCAGCTTTCCGCCTCCATCTTTGTTTCGAATCGGGCAGCCATATCCTTGCTTGACTGTAACGACTACGAGTTTACAACGAGAGCAACGCATTCTGGAAAGGCTACAGGTAAAGAACGCTCTTTTTTAGTATACTATCGGCCGACTGACGATATTGTTTTAGGAGGAAAAATATGTAGTGCGAGCTGAGCTTCACCGATGGCTAGAAAGCATAAGTAACCGGAAGACCATGATGGACAGAAAGACATTGACTCGAACTCTTCAGAAGCTCCAACGTGAAGGCCGATGCAAGTGCATTCTGCTGAGCATGCCCGGGTCGACGAACTGCGGTCGCAAGAGAACTGCGGAGGTCGTTCTTCTTCCGTCAGTGAAGGTGGAGCCTGACTTGCTCAGCGTTATTCACGAACGTATTCGAAAGTTTGACATGGAAAGCCGTGGTCACGGGTTACCCCGCGAGAAGGCGTCAGTCAACACGGTACCTGTTCTTACTGGCTTGAGAAGGATGAAGGTGAAACACAAGAAAGCGCCCTTATTATCACAGATTGATGCAGCCAAGACAGTGGCCCTTCAAGCTAACGGGTTCGTGCCGGCAAAAATGGTCAGAGCTCGGATGCTGCATTATTTCCTTTGGAACTACACCAATGACTTTTTGGACGAAGATATGGGCCTCGAGTTTGGTACACCACGCTTGACGGATGGGAGAGGGTACCGAGTCTTCGGATTGATGGCTGCAGTACAGTCTATGCCACTGGAGTTGTTTCTCCAAATGGTTGGCTCGAATAGAGTGATCGACAACTTGACAGAGCGTTGCAGACAAGGCATGCGGCTTCGTGACCTTCCCGAAGGTGAACAAGTTATTTTGCTGGAGAATTCTGCTGGAGGACGTTTGGCATGGCTCGTTGATATTCTTCGTCGTCTGAAAGTAAGTTTTTTTATTCTCCTGCATACTATCTTATCTCGTTCATTCTGCAGCTTATACGGATTGTTATCGGGCATGGTCCGGTCGTTTTACAAGACCGTTGGCATCTTGGCAGCCTCTCTATATCAATGATTGAGGCTTCTCTTACATATGCCATGGAGGAACATATGTACATCGAACAGCCAGCACCGCAGCCCCTTCCATCTCTTACGAGGGACACTTATGACTACAATCCGCGAGCCCGCCACGAGTTTGACATCAATACGAAAGAAGGCCTCGATAATTACTGGCAAACTTTGGAGTACTTCTTTTCCGGTGCAGAACCTGGTATTGCGAGGCACGCGTTCCCTGGTTCAAGTGTTCCTGAGGTTGTTTGATCTGAATATTTTGCTGGCTCTAATATTCTATCTGTCAGCTTTTTGGCTTGCGGTCTTGGACCTCACTTCGAATCATGACAATCGATCAACGTAATGATCTTGTGAGGAGAATGAACGAAGGTGGGCCAGAAAAGCGGAAGTCGATACAGGAATGTGCAAAAATTGCTAAAGATCTGAACCTTACACTTGAACAGGTATTATATTCAAAATTCCAAATTTCGAACTAAACTTCATGCGCAGGTCCTACGAGTCTCTTATGAGAAAAATCGTCGTGTCCGACTCCAATCGTTACAGAAAACTGAACCTAGTTTTATGGACACGTTTGCCAGCAGTCATCCAGCGCCTCCACAGGTCTTAGTTACTGAAGACAATTCCAGACATGAAATGGGACAGATGTTTACGTCCGGAATCTCCGAAGCAACACAGATGGAAAAAGAAGTGGATGATGCAGACGATATGGGGGACCATGTTAATCATATAAGTATCGTAACCAAATTGAAGCCGTCGAGATCAAGAAGATTTCCGTGGTCGGACAAGCTGGACAGGTAAGCTTTGTGGTCTTTCTCGCTATTTTAATTCTCTTTTTTTTTTCTGCAGAGTACTTTTCTTTGCTTATGCGAAACAGCGGGCTTTATTGGGTGCAAAGATGAACCGCGTGGACTGGAATTTGATTCCCGGTCTTCCAGCAGCACCATTAGTCTGTCGCAGGCGGATTTCCATTCTGAAGTCCGAGGCAACCGTGAAGAAGGCCATTTTGAATCTATGCTCGCTACTTTCAGCGCGGTATGAGAAATACTGCCAGTTGATGGAGAGTATCGAGGATCAAGGGACCAGTAGTACGTGTGAAGAACAAGTAGTGGAAGACGGAGAGCTTATTCCGCCTGCACCTATCAGAGTTCTGCACGAGCAACCGGAGTATTACTGGGATAATCCTGAAGACGCGTCCGTGGTCTCGGCGATCGACGAAATCATCAGATGCAAGAACTTAGTACGATCGTGCTACAACAAGCCGTGCCACAACAAGCGTATCGTTGCAACATCGCTATACAATAGTGCAACTGAGACCGTTGAAGCTTCAACAAGTGGAAGCATCACAGTCGATCCACTACACCTGTCTTCTGCTGCTGGGCTTATGCAAGTAAGCAAACGGCCTCCTATAAAACCGAACAAGACTGGTGGTGTTATCGCCCTTCGCTCACGACGGGTCAGAAAGAAAGTGAAGAAAAAGCCGGCATCGCTTCAGTGTCTGACCACTGAGCAACTTGTGCACGGTTCAGTTGGAGTTGCCAACGCGATCGAGTTTATCAAGCTGGTATTCTTGAACACGTCGGTAAACAGTGACGACGTGCAGTTGCCGAAGGCTTTTATGGATGCACTTCATCAGTTCAAAGAGGCAGACGTGTTTACAGCTTTTAACTTTCTCAAGGATCACGGGATGGTGGTAAGTCTCCTTATTGTTTATGATTCGTTTGTTCGAGACTTTCGCTAATTTGATAATGTTACACAGGCGTCCGGTCAGGGTGCTCAATCCTTCGTTCTGTCCGATACTTTCTATCAGAACGCGTTTGCAACGAGGTTTCCTGGCTCAACTGCCGAAGAATCCTTTGCAATGTCTAAATGGCTTCAGGAGCGCAGAACTGACATTGATCAAGAATGGGTTACATACTCAACCGAAGACACTTGTGGCAAGCTTCTACAATTATTTGGGAGAGTTGCCACAGGAGAACTTACATTGAAACCGAGCGTACCGGCTAATGGGATTGGCGAGAGCGAAGACCCGAGATCAATCGGTTGCGGTTTCAAGCGCAAGCCAGACAACCAGGAACAAGGTGCAAGAACTGTAAAGGCGAGACTCGAAGACAAGGACGAAGTCTACCAAGCAGTTCGTCGTGAGCGAGGATTTCCTGGCATCGATGTTCTTTTACACCGAGAGACCTTTACTCTTCCGGATTTGCTCTCTAGATGCCAAGGCGAGCTGGAACCGGGTCCATCAGAAACACCTTCTTTCGAAGTTCCAGGCGCAAAAAATCTGGAGAAGGTTTCTGGCACGGAAGGTGACGAAAATCTCGAGCCTGGTTTACTTGCGGCAATGCAAACCGAAATCGAAAATGCTGGTGAGGAAGGTGTAAACATCAAGGACCTTGGCCAACGCCTTGGTACGGAACTCGTGGAGAAATATGTCGACTCTCTGGAGTCCTCTGGCGTTGTGAAGAAGGTAAATTCTGACTTTTCGATGTTCTTATATTTTGTCTGGCTTTTTTTATGTAGGTGAACGCGTTCGACCACGTTCGTGTTCTTTCTCAGGCCTTTGCTGGCCGGTACTTTCTTCAGTTTTCTACAAAGAAGACGGACAGGGGCTCGCTTCTGCTTTCCAGTCCAGGGAAAAGCATCGAAAAGAGCGACGTTTTCATGGGAGATGGTGCTTCCACTTCGACATTCATGGACATTGATCCCATTGAAGGAGGAAGCAGCGAACACAAGGCATGCAACACGGCTGACGTAGCCGATGTGACCAGCACACTTCCAATCCTTCCTTGGATAACGTCTAACGGAAGTCTAAACATGAAAATATTGAAGGGACTGATCCGTCGCGTTATGGGCATTGTAACACTGAACCCCGGAATCACTGAGGTCTGTATTAACTTTTGGCACTTGGCTGTTTCTAATGCATTTTTCTTTTTCCAGGACAATCTGGTCAAGCGGATGAACGTCCTCAATCCACAGGTACTTATACTTAAGGCTCCTATTACTCGATTTTGAACTTCCAACTCTTTTGGCTCAGACTGTAAAGGAGCTCCTGCGCATGCTCTTGCTGGATGGTAAACTAATCGTCCGCAGTGTCACGTACCCTCCCGTGTTCGTGCCATCTCTTTTGAGTGGTCTGCTCCACACGTCGAGCCAACCTGAAGCAAGTGCATATCCACAACAGAAGCATTACTACGCAAATGCTCTGTGCACATCTGCCTTGTAAACCTGATCAGGTAACATCATTGTATATTGGTTTTTTTCCTTGTTTAATGTCGAAACAGAAACTTCCAGCAAGAAAAACAGTGTTATTTTATTACCAGGAAAACATCGGAATGACATACGACGGATCCGATCCGTGATTGTGCAAAACAGACTTCAGCGCGTCTGGAGATGGTTTGTCACCTATGTTTTCAATTTGCAACTCACCAGCATGAATTCCAGCTGCTACAAACACAGACTGTATTCCAGCGGCCTGTGCTCCTTTTATATCGTGCGCCAACGAGTCCCCAACGGCAATGCAGCACGAAGGCGCGACGTTGGCAATCGTTTGAGCAGCACGGTAGATAACCGGGTCGGGCTTTCCCATCCATCTGACGTCGCCGCCGAGCTTCTCGTACTCGAGGCCCAGCATTCCTGGACAACGAGCACGGGTTACTACAAGCTGAGAGAAGAGCCAGCAGCAGGAACTTTCACCAGGCATCGCTCGGAGCTCCCTGGCTTCCACTGTGACAACGTCCGGATTGGCAACTATCATGGGGAGATTATACTTCACTCCAACCTCCAGGAACTCGCGAAGCTGCTCTAAGGTTGCTGGCTTTGGACTCCCGTTCGACGTTCCCAGTGCCTCGGTCCCATGCACGAGAATGAAGTCGGCAAGCTCGGGCTTCTCTACGACTTCCAGATCCAACTCCTGCAACCAGCGATAGCTTACGACTATCAAACTTGGGAAGACCAGACCTCGAGTGATATAGCACCCCGAGCGCTCCATGTCATGTGTAAGCATCGCTTTCCGAGCCGAGCAAACCAAGGGTCTCGTCTCCTGCAACAAGAGAGAGCGGCAAAACAGTGACAGATGATCCAGCAACAGGGGCAGGAAAGAAGCTCACCTGAGGAGGTGGTCGTGAGTTAATTCTCCGCTGGTGATGATTCCAGCAAACAGGCCCGGATCAAAGCCCAACTCGCTCATCTTGTTCTTGGTCACCTCGGATCGCCGGGACGAGTTGCTGAGCAGGAGGAGCTTTGCGCCGGTGGAAGCCAGGCACTCCACTGCGAAAGAGAAAGCAAAGTTTGCACTCTCAGCCATGGAGGAACAAGAAGAACAAAGAATGGTATAGTATCCAGGACGAAGAGCTTTGGAGCTTCGAGAATGGATTGAGCAAACCAGGACGAAAAGATTCAAGCTCGGGGAATTTAGCGAGCGAATGGAAAGAGATCGAGAAGAACTTGGAGAGGTGTTTTACGAGTAGCAATGGCGCCTGGGTATGGCTTTCTTCCATCGTGGAGCACTCCAAATTGATCCAGCAGCCATGCCTGTAAGCTCTAAACTCGTCCCTCCTCGTTTCCTTTGCTTTTCCTTTCATACCTTGTAAGTTGGTGTTCCAGCGAGCTCTTGAAGACCTCCAAGCATCCGGTAAGACAATGCGGCCATTTCCTGGAACAACGAGCCCTATTGGAAAGGTTGACCAAGTAGATTGACCGCATTAGTCAATGGTGGTCAAGTTTCTCGTGCGATCAAGACCGTTGGACTAGATTTGGACATCCAACGGTAATGGGTCTTTAGGGAAGAGCCCTAGCCCTAGAAGGGAAGACGGGGAGATGCCGCGCTACGACGATGGCCAGACGCGCCTCTACGTTGGTCGGCTCTCCACGCGGACGCGCAGCCGCGACCTCGAGGCGATTTTCAGCAAATACGGGAGGTAAGATCTCTCTCCTTTCGTTCCTGCGAGGTAGAAATTTGTGCTGGATTTCGTGGGGGGGAATTGAGAGTAGAGGCATCTTCGCTGCTAGATTCGCAGTTCGCAGCTCCACGGGATTGGGGGATGTGTATTGCCAATCCCTGGATTGGAGAAGTGGAAGTGAGATGGAAAGAGAAAACCATTTCGTTTCGTTCGTCTCTAGCTCTAGTGTTAACTTTCATTCATTTCCATTTCGTTTTGTTGAAGGTTTTTGGTGGGTTTTCTCGTCCCAAGTCTGGTGGAGGCCCGTGATGATGTTAGAGAGTGGCTTTTGATGCTCGTCGGAAGGGGAAAAAAAGTTCATGGCGCATCCATCTCTAGGAGTTCTCTCTCTTTCATTGTCTCTTTGGATGGAATGCCCGGGGTGCTTTTAACTTCAGCTGACCGAGGTGCCATGACGATTGGTTGTTTTGTTGCGCGCCTTTCCGCAGAGTCCGAGAAGTGGATGTCAAGCACGACTTCGCCTTTGTTGTACGTAGAAACTCTTTCTTTTGCTCGCTCTTTGTTTTCTTTTTCTATTCACTTCTCTCTTTCGAGTTTCGCTACAGGAATTCAGCGATCCCCGGGATGCTGATGAGGCGAGGCATTATCTCAACGGACGGGACTTCGAGGGACACCGCATGATCGTCGAGTTTGCGAGAAGGGTATTTCCATTCCTTTGCTAGTTTTACAGCAATTTCTTAAAGTTCTTTTTGGATGTCTCTGTTTGACAGGGTCCTCGCAGCGGCAGTGGTGGTAGTGGTGGTGGAAGCATCAGGAGGGAGCGCGAGCCCTTGAGAGGCCCGCCTCCAGGAACTGGAAGATGTTACAACTGTGGCAACGATGGTCACTGGGCTCGAGACTGCAGAGCTGGCGACTGGAAGGACAAGTGCTACCGCTGCGGGCAGCGTGGTCATATCGAGAGGAACTGCCGCAACAGTCCACGCTCGTTTAGCAGGTGTCTCGAGAAAAACTTTAGCCGAGAGTCTCGTTCATCGCTGATTACAATTATGTTTGTCTCTTGACAGGCACTCTAGATCGCGTTCTCGATCAATGGAACGTAGGAGAAGCCGTAGCAGATCGCCCAGGTTGGTGTTCTCTCTTTTCTTCTCCTCTTCGCTCAAACTTGTTATTCGCAGTCGCTCTCCGAGAAGAAAGTATAGCCGGAGTCGAAGGTACAGCGCGAGCCCCGTCAAAGACGATAGAAGCCGCTCGCCTGCCGCACGAAAGCGCAGCGTCTCTCCAGATGGGAATGCTCGCAGGTCACCACCACCAAGACGCCGCAGCTTGTCTCCGGAAGGCCACCGCCGCGGTTCACCACCATCAAGAGGCCGTAGCTTGTCACCGGATGGCCACCGTCGTCGTGGATCACCACCAGCAAGAGGCTCTCCGGAAGGCCACCGTCGTCGTGGATCACCACCACCAAGAGGTTCTCCGGAAGGACGCCGTCGCGGGTTGCCAGCACCACGGCACCGCAGCCCATCTCCGGATGGAAACCCGCGCAGCCGATCGCCAATGGAGACGCGAAACCGCAGCAGCTTGTCTCCGGACAGAAATCCTCGCCGAGAGGAGCGCTCGCCGGGAGCTCGAGGCCGCGGCAGCTTGTCCCCGGATGGAAATCCCCGACGCTGGTCGCCAGAGGCGAGGGACCGGAGAAGCCTGTCCCCGGAGGAGAATGCTCGTGAGAGTCCATCGCCCAAGAGGAGAGTGGCGAGCCCAATGGAGAATGGCAGCCATGGCGCGGGAGGAGATCGCGGTGGAGAGTCTCCGGTGAAGAACGAAGAGGACGAGGAAGAACAGTGAAAGAGTTTGTGAAGTGTTTGAACTTTAAAATCTTAATCCCGCGCACGAATATTCTTGAAAAGATGCAGATGTTAGCGTTTAGGGTTTATGGATGAGAGCGGTCCAGCGGCTAGAAAGCCACGACGAATGCTGGCGATGGCGGAGGTTTTTCAAGGATCCTTCTCTCTGGCGGGACTACCGGCAATGCAAGGTGGGTGTGCAAGGGATGGAAGGCCAAATTCCCCTTTTTTCCTTCTCTGTGTAGGAAGAACCGAGCTCTCCAGATTTCGTCCACGAAAGCACTGGAGAGGCGCTATGGATCGACCGGAGTTCGTGCTGGCTAGAGCTCAAACTCAGCAATTTGGAGGGATTTTCTGGAGCTGGGACGAGAGCGCGGTACAAAAGAAATGATCAACAAAGCTCCGGCGATGGTGCTGCTCAGAAAAATGCCACTCTCGCCGCGACGCTCTCGTCGATCATCACCAAGGTGGAGGGAAGAACAGAAGCTCTAGAACTCTACGAGAGAGCGCGAAGAGATGGAAGAGTTCCTCCGGTGTCCGTGTCCCTGGCGGCATTGAAGTCGTGCATTGGCAGCAAGGACTTGACAACTGGGAGGAGGATTCACTCGGAGGTGGCCGACAACCAGCAAGAACTACACACTCACGTCGCCAACACGCTGGTGGATATGTACGCGAAGTGTGGAAGCATGGCCGAGGCGCGGCGAGTTTTCGATGCGATCAAGCTCCACAGCGTGGTTTCATGGAACGCGATCATCATGGGATACGCTTCCAACGGCGATGGAGCACAGGCACTCGAGCTTTTCTCTGCCATGCAACGCAAAGGCTTCGTTCCCGACTCGAGGATCTTCATCGCTGCGCTTAAGGCCTGCACGGACTTGGCCACCAAAGAAGAAGGGACGCTGGTTGGCGAGAAGATGATCAAGCTCGAGTGCCTGGAAAGAGGGAGAGAGATTCACTTGGAGCTTGCAAAGCGAGGACATGAAGGTGATCTCTACGTCGCGAGCACGCTGGTGGACTTCTACGCGAAATGTGGCAGCATGGCGGACGCACGCAAAGTTTTCGACAAGATGGAACGCTACGACGTCGTCTCGTGGACCGCAATGATCCTCGGCTATGCTGCGAGTGGCCAAGGGGAGCTCGGTTTGGAGCTCTACTCGCGGATGCTACGCGAAGGCTTTAAACCCGACTCGAGGATCTTCGTGGCGGCAGTGAAAGCTTGCGGCAGCGTAGCTTCTCAAGACGAGAGGATGGATTGGCAGAAGAAGTGGCTGGAGAAAGGGGTGGCGATTCACGCTCAAGTGGCAAAGGCTGGCTGTGAGAACAACATTTACGTTGCTGCAAGCTTGGTGGACATGTACGCCAAGTGTGGAAGCCTGGAAAACGCTCGCCGGGTGTTTGAGAGAGTTCGTCAGCGCAACGTCGTTCACTGGAACTCCATCATCGCGGCTTACGCTCAAGGCGGACAGGAAGAGGTGGCTATGGAGCTCTACGAAAGTATGAAGGCTCAAGGCTTCGTTTCAGACGCTCGGACAACGGTGGTTACTCTCGCAGCGTGCGCTGCTCTAGCAGGAAAAGAGGAAGGGAAAGAATCCGGTGGAGTGATCATCAAAGGTACGAGCTTGGAGAAAGGAAGAGCTCTTCACTTGGAAGCCGTGAAGAACAGGCACGACAAAGACGTATATGTGGCGAGCACCTTGGTGGATTTCTATGCCAAGTGTGGCTGTATGGCGGATGCAAGGCAAGTTTTTGACGAGATGGAGCAGCACAGCTCGGCTTCCTGGCAGGCAATTATCTCGGGGTATGCTCACAACGGAAAAGAAGACACGGCCTTGGAGCTCTTCGAGCGTATGAAGGCCAAAGGTGGCGTGGTTCCGAGTGGTCGGCATTACATTGCTGCGATCAAGGCTTGCGGAGGCCTTGCGGCCCTGGAAGTTGGGAGGAAGACCCACGAAGAGATCCGGGAGGCTGGATACGAGGACGACATCATGGTGACGAACTCGTTGATCCATTTTTATGGGAAATGCGGGGCCATGGCGAGCGCTCAAGAGGTTTTCGACAAGGCTCGTACGAAGAGCTTGGTCACTTGGAATGCCTTGATAGCTGGGTACACTCACCAGGGAGACACGGCGAAAACTTTCGAGCTCTTCGAAGGGATGGAGAAGGAAAAGGTGCTGCCAAACGAGATAACTTTCCTTCACGTCCTCAACGCTTGCACTCACGCCGGGCTTGTGGAGAAGGGAAAGGAAATTTTCGAGGCCATGCGCGAGAAGTTTTCTCCGGCTCGAGAGCACTATACGTGCATGGTGGATCTTCTGGGACGAGCAAACCACTTGGAGGAGGCGCTGGCTATGGTGAAAAGCATGCCTTTTAAGCCGGATCCAGCGCTGTGGAGGGCAGTTCTGGGGGCTTGTCAGAAGTGGAGCAACGCAAAAGTTGGGAGGATTGCCTTTGAGTCTTTGCTGGAGCTCGACGAGGGAGACGCGACGGCGTACGTGCTCCTGGCCAACATATACAGTGGTGCTAAAATGTTGGACGAGAGTGCCAAGATACAAACCATGAGAAGAAGTCGTGGTGCTTCTTGAGGTATAAGTTCGTTTTTTTCTCTCAACTCGTTGGGTTTTAAGTAGGGTTCTTCTTTTGCAGTTCATGAGTCTATGGATCAAGGCAGGACGCGGATGCTGTAAAGAAAACTGTTTAAGACTTGGGTGAGTATAAACTCGTGCACCCATTGTCTATTTCGTTTGCATTTGCGCCATTTCTTTGCCTGATGATCCTTCTCTTCAGGCTTGCAGCAGGCACTCGTCTGGCTTCACCTTGGATACCTCGCACTCGTTTTTTCTCGATCGCACTCGAGGTAAAATTCACGTTGTTCAAGCTGCGAATGCCGGCTCTATCGTTTAATTCCGCAGGAAGAACAAAGTTCTTTGGACAAACCAACCAAGTTGAGACCAAAGATTGGGATTTACGAGCTTCTCGATCAGCTAAGAGTGTGCTGCATCGCGAAAGACTTGACACGAGGAAGATCAGTGCACGCCAGAGCCAATGAAACCGGTGAAGCCTCAAATCTCTACGTCGCGAACTGCTTGATCAGCATGTACGCAAAATGTGGCAGCCTGGTGGACGCGAAGAACGTTTTCGACGGCATGACATACCGGGACGTTGTGACTTGGAACTCGCTTCTGACGGGATACGCCGAGCAAAACGAGGGAGAGCTCGTTTTGGAGCTCTTTGCAAGCATGGCGATGGCGGGGTGCTCGCCAAATGCTAGAACTTTCGTCGCAGCACTCAAGGCCTGCTCAAACATCGCAGTCAGAGAAGAAGGAAAGAAGATCGACGGACAGTTTCTCAAAGAGAGAGCCCTTGAGAAAGGCCAGGAGATCCACGCGCAGGCTTTGGCGAGTGGCTGTCCCTCGGATATATTTCTTGCAAGCACGGTGGTGGACATGTACGCGAGCTGTGGAAGTCTGGACGACGCCTACGCCAACTTTTCGAGAATGCCCCGCCACAGCGTCGTTTCCTGGTCGGCACTGATGATGGGATGCGCGGAGAACGGGCAGCCGGAGCTGGCCTTGGAGCTATTTCTGACGATGAAGCAGACCAACCGAGCTCCAAACTCTCGGGCATTTGTAGCGGCGCTCAAGGCCTGCGCGAAGGTGGCAGTGAAAGAAGAAGCTACTCAAGCAGCCGACGGCCGGGTGATCAAGAAACGAAGCTTGAGGAAAGGAGTGGCAATCCACTCGCAGGCAGCCAAGCTCGGCCTCGACTCCAACTTGTTCGTGGCGAGTGCATTGCTGCTCATGTACGTGAAGTGTGGAAGTACTTCCAACGCTCGTAGAGTTTTCGACAAAATGCCCCGGCACGACTTGGTTTCGTGGACGTCGATGCTGCTCGCCTATGCCGAGAACGGGGAGGAAGAGCTCGCTCTTGAGTTCTTTACGGAGATTCCAGTGGATGGCTGCGAGCCTGATGCGGTGGCCTGCGTCGCTGCTATCAAGGCTTGCACGATCCTTGCGGCTAGAGAAGAAGGCAAGCTCGTTGACGGGAGATCGATCAAGGCGGTGGCTTTGGAGCGAGGCTGTGCTCTACATTCTCGAGTTGTGAGCTGCCGGTGCGAGACAGATATGGCCGTGGCGATCACTCTCGTCGACATGTACTCGAGGTGTGGAAGCGTGGAGGATGCCCGGCGAGTTTTCGACAGGATGGTCTACAGAGAAGTGGCGCTGTGGAACTCCCTGATGCTGTGCTACGTCGACAATGGCGAGGCTCAGCTTGCTCTCGAGGCCTTCGTGTTCCTCCGGCCCGAGAACAGTGCTCCGAATCCTCTCACTTTCGTGGCGGCGATCAAGGCTTGCACGAGCCTTGCGGCCGCGGAGAAAGCATCGCCAGTGATGGAGCTCGGGGAAAAGATGATGGTTAAGTCCGAGTCCCTGGAGAGAGGGATGATAGTCCACTCCAAAGCCGTGGGATATGGCTGTGATCGTCAGCTCTTGGTGGCCAGCGCTGTCATGGACATGTATGGGAGGTGTGGGAGCTTGCTCGACGCTCGCATCGCCTTCGACAAGAGTGGGTCTTGGAACACAGTCTTGTGGAATGGACTCATGTTCTGCTACGTCGAAAATGGGGAGGCCGAGATGGCCTTGGAGCTTCTCTCGGCGATGCAAAGCTATGGGTTGGAACCCGACGCTCTGAGCTACGTCTCGGCATGCAAGGCCTGTGCCAGCCTCGCCTCCAAAGCCAAAGCCACGGCCAACTCCGCGACGGTGGCGAGATCCTTGGAACGAGGCCGGGAGCTCCACTGCGAGGCTGCCAACTTTGGCTTCTTTTCGGAGATTTTCCTCGCAAACTCGGTGGTGGACATGTACGCGAAGTGTGGGAGCATGAGAGAAGCTCGCCGGGCCTTCGACGCCATGGCTTTCTACAACGTCGTCTCGTGGACGACGCTCATACTCGGCTACTCGGACAACCAGGAGGAAAGCTCCGGTGAGGAGCTCTTCCAGAGAATGAGGAGAGAGTGCGGGGAGTACTGCGAGCCGGATGCGTTGAGCTACGTTGCCGTGCTGAAGGCCTGTGGAACTTCTGCGGCTGTGGAGACTGTCAAGCTTCTCCACGCGGAGATCTCCCGAAACGATCGCCTCCAAAACTCTCTGGTCGCAAGCCTGGTGGACGCGTATGGGAAGTGTGGGAGCGTGACAAACTCCCAGCTCCTCTTCGACTCGGTGGTGGCGAGGGACTTGGATCTGGTCACCTGGACAGCACTTCTCTCGGCTCACAGCCGCGGGGGTGACGCTCACCTGGTGCTCGAGCTCTTCCAGGCGATGCAAGACGATGGGATCGCTCCAAACAGCGTGACTTTCATCAGTGTTCTCGCGGCTTGCAGCCACGCCGGCCTGGTGGAGCAAGGAAAGCACTACTTTGAGGAGATGAGCTCGAAGTATGGGATTGTTCCAGAGGTGGAGCACTACGTGTGTTTGGTGGACATGCTGGGACGAGCAAACAAAGTGGAACTAGCCATGGAGATGGTTTCCAGGATGAAGGTGGAACCGAACGATGTGGTGTGGAGAACGGTGCTGGGAGCTTGCAAGAGATGGAAGAACTTGGGGGTCGGAAAGGCTGCTTATGAGTCGCTGCTTGGGATCAAGGAAGACTCTGCGGCTTACGTGCTAATGGAGAGCATTTACAAGCAAGAAAGGGAGGATCAAACCCCGGATCTAGAACACGAGGGGCGGCGGCCGACTTTGCTGGATTCTTGACAAGATCTTGGACAACGGCACGACATTCTCTCCGACACAAGTAGATCCAGCCAAGGTTGACTTCTACGGTGTGTGCGAAGGTTCCAAAGCCGTGGACTTGTCAAAGGCCGACACGACTTGGAACTCGGCCTTAGATAAACAAGTAGTTTCGTGGATGTCAGGGAGTTTCTTTGCTCACCAAGTGGATTTGCTGGCAGGAGAGACTTGACTGAACTATCAAGCGGAAAAAAACGTTTTTGCCTTTCTTGGATTGCTCGGATATCGAAGAAGCAAGCTAAAATAAGTGAAGTTTTCATGGATTGCGAACAAAAACTTCCTCTAGAAGACGATCCAGAGCGATCATCAACAAAGTAAGCTTGAAAAACTTGCGTTTTCATAGATCTCAATGTTTACTACCTATAGAAGCTGTGGAAAATCCGAAGGAAGAAACAAAAAGCTCTCTTTTTGCTTCAGCCATAGGCTCGGATTACGTCGGAGCAATTCTTGGCAGTAGATTGCTTGAATCCAAAGCGGCCCCCTTTGGACAAATACTGTTGGTGGTATGGCTCCGCTTTGTAAAACTTCTTGGCCGGGAGTATCTCGGTGACAATCTTAGCGTCGAGTTTCTTCTGGAGATTTTCCATCGACTCCCGAGCAATTCTCTCCTGTTCTTCGTTGAAGAAGTAAATTCCAGATCGGTACTGGGTGCCAACATCGTTCCCCTGGAAAGACAGAACAATCCAATAAGAAATGGGAAGAACACAAAGATCGAGAAAGATATAGCGAAGAGCTAAGAAATAGATCAAAAACAGAGGAGAAAGGAACTTACTTGGCGGTACATGCTCGTTGGATCGTGCATCTTCCAGAAAACCTCCAGCAATTTCTCGTAGCTACAAACGCTGGAGTCGAAAACCACTCTCACAACTTCGCAGTGGCCAGTGATCCCATCGCAAACATCCCGATAGCTCGGGTTGTGAAAAATTCCCTGCGAGTATCCAGCCTCGGTCTTGGTCACTCCATACACTCTCTGGTACGCGAGCTCCATCCCCCAAAAACATCCTCCTCCAAACTCTGCAAACTCGAGACCAAACTCCGCTCGATCCTTGTCCGGCCCTTGAGCAATCTTCAAACCATCGCTGGAAGTGATCCTTCTCTCTCGAGACCGGCTGAAAGCTAGCGGATTAAAGCAGCTGGAACTCCTCCCCATACTTGTGTCCCAGAGGTTCTTGAGCTTCCTCGTCCTTGGAGATGAGGGAAAGTAGAAAAGGAAAGAGAGCTCTACTTGGAGAACTCGCTGTCGTTGTCTTTGATCTTGGTAAAGAATGTAACCTCGTGGAGAGCTTATATACTCCAGTGGGAAAAAAAAACGTGGTCGCAAGTTCTGCTTAAGTGCTCCGCAAGCTTCCTGACTTATCTTGGTTTTCTATTCCTCTGTCCAAAACAGTAGCGTAGCGTCTCTCTACTTAGCCGCCATAGCCGCCGTCATTGCTTCTTTAGTGACCCCCGTAAGTCGTCAGAGAGAAAAATCATAGGCGAAAAACTCGCTACACACGCCTTTGAGATCCACGCTTCCGTGTTTCTTCGCCACTTTTCCTGATTCCCCCTGTTAGTCAATCCCGTTTTTTTCCTATCCCGCACGCTTCCCATGAGCTTCGCTCTACACTTCCCACGTAGCTATCGTCTCGCCCAAGCGAGAGATAAGTAGAACGCGTCCCAAAAAGTTCTACACTTGCAACACCCTTGCAAATTCTTCCTGTTTGCTGCGAAGATTTGTGATGCTAGAGCTCCGTACTTGAATCCAAACTTCCACCCAAACCAAAAAACCCAGCCACTTCGTGGGACCTGCGAGAACCTGCGAGAATGAGAGAGCCCGTCTATACAGTTCTGTCCACTTGTCAAAAGCTCGAAGTTGACGTTTGGCCCAGCACACTGCTAGTGTGTGTGTGTTTTTTTTTTTTTTTTTTTTTTCCTGCCTTGCTGGTGACCACAATCCCCAGACGAAGAAATCATAGACCCCGATATACGATCACTGTTGCCGTTGATCTTTCCCTGTCGGTGATCATGATTAAGTGCGAACGAAGGAGGAAAGAAAAGTTTGCTTGGTATTTGCTTGCCTGAAATTCGAGCTTTGTTTGTCGCTAAGTTGGTCCTATCACGGCCCTGCCGCCATGATTTGCTGCGGAAGGCTGCAGGAATAAGTGACATACTTTACCCCGTCGATGGCCACCACGACGAAAACTTCGCCACCTGTAGGCCCCGACATGGATTTCTTTGGCAAAACCGAGACCACCATCGGAGGAGGAGGCGCGACTTTGTTCTTGGTGAGTTGGATCCCGGGTCCCGGACGATCGTTGAGCTGTTTCTTCCGGATCACGCGGGACCCTGCTACATTCCCCTCGGAGCTGGATCGAAACTGGAAGACTTGGGTGCACTTTCCAGCCGTAAAGACTGCTCAAAAACAAGAACACGAGAGTTTAGCCAGTCCAATGGATCAAAAGGAAAAGAAAAAAAAACGTTCTTTCTCACCCGAGTTGTCCCACTGCTGCATGAATGGAGCGTCTTCACCAGTAGCAGCAACTTTCGCTGTGTTCGTAGAGTCATTAACCTTGCTGCTCGGAGAAGAAGCGCTCGAGCCTTCGTCTTTTTTCTCACTGCCCACGCTGGTACCCCGGCCCGGGATGCTGGATCCCTCCACACCACCGCGGGTAAAGCGTGGAATCTCCATCCCGTGTATTCTCGAAGCATAAGTAGAAGGCCATCGCTCGTGATCGCGAGAACTCATCATCGACCACCTCTGCGTCGCGGGTGATGATCCTCCAAAACTCTGGGAGCTCCCCAGCCCTTGGATCCCGACTTTGATCGGGAAGAAGAGCATCACCAGGCAGAGAAAAACCAAGAGAAGAGCGCTGGCCGGCCTCTTGATCATCCTCCTCGCCTCTCTAAATCCAAATCCTTTGCTGTGGTCGCGCTTGGGGAGCTTGCTCCTCTTCGAACGGATCGTCTTCGCGCCGCTAGCACCTCCCGGAAGCGGGGAAGAGGCAAAGAAAGAAGGTGGTGGCGGCGGCGGAGGTGGCGGCGGTGGCGCCGCTCCCTGGTGAAGGAGATAAGAGTTTCTCACCACCTTAAACTTCTTGTCGCCGCCCCCACCGATGAGATTGATGGCGCTGTTTAGCTCCTCGATCGCCGTCGTCATGGATCCCAGCTTCCTCTCCAGATCGCCCACGAACACCTTCTTCCGCTGCCGGAGGGAATCGTGATGCTTCCTCACGATGAAATCCTCGCTCTCGTCCGACACGACGACGGAGGAGCTCTTTCTCTTACCCAACCTCTTGAGAATCCTCCTCTCGCCGCCGGCTCCGGCGGAGCACGATGGCGGCGCCACCACCACCATCTCGCCGCCGCCGCTCGAAAATTTGGCGGGAATGTTGCCGCCGCGCTGCAAGAGATCCCTGCTTTCGTCCTGCTCCGGGTAGAGGGTGATCCATTCCGGATCATCCAATTCCCCAAACAAAGAGGGCTCCTGCTGCATTGCCAGCTTTGGAAGAGCCATCGATCCTGAATCCTTGGCAAGGAAGACAAACGCACACAAAAAGGAAGATCACCCATCTGGAGGAGACGAGCGATCTTGCAGAAGATTACTAACCAGAAAGATCTCTCTCCCAAGAGTCCTACAGATCTCTGCTCAAACGTTTAGGGTTTAACGTTGCCCTAATCGAAACGGCACAACTTTACAAAGAGAATAATTGTTAAAGATATTCTTTAGATATAATAGACCTCTGCTTGAAAATAAATATGACAAAATTTCTGTACTAAAAAAGCGCAGGGCTTTAGGGTTTTAGGTGTGAACCGTTAACGATGCCGCGAGAGTCGTTTGAGGCGGTGCTGAACCGGGCGCTCGAGGCAGTGGAGCGCAAGGCGGAGCACGACGACGACCTCGACTGGCAGGCATGGAACAACCGCGAGGAGTGCACCGTGGGTAAGCGCTGGACCACAGCCAAGCTCCTGCGCTACCGCGAGCTATGGAAGCTAGGGGCGTCGTGCGTGGTACGCCCTGGTGGGAAAGTTGTTGCCGTGGAACGGAAACACCAATCTTTTATCACTGCTTATGTTCAGAGGTGCTTCCGACCGGCGCTAAACTGGATCTGGATGGTGGAGTACCTCCGATTCGCCTATCCCCCAAGTGGAAACATCAAGTTCGTGAGCTTGCAAGCCCACCATGACGCTCTCCACCTGCTCGAGCCCGAGACTGGCTGCTTCCCATGGCCGCGATTCATCCTCGACGTTGGACAGTGCCAGACGCTGCCCGAGCTCCTCTCCTACAAGGACGCCTACTTCCATAGCCCCGGCTCCAAGGTCCAGATCTTCCTGGCGCTCAAGTGCTACTTGAAGACGCGCATGAGGCAGATGGTGGCGGTGTTGTTCGAGCGAGACGACGCGGGTGATGGTATCACGGCGAGAGCCATCTCGTTTGGGGAGGAGGCGCTTCATCCCGTGACTGTCGCGTGGCTGGTTGAAGAGCAGGGGATTTTGCTCAGCGGGGTTGGGCATGGCGGTGTCGACTGTGATCGACCGGGCATTCCGGGCTACCAGATCGAGCTTGACACCGCCAAGGTTCTTGGGGGTGCCGGAGATATGGAGGCCATTCTCAGCCACTGTGGAGATCACTTCACGGTTGATCTCTACTGGATCAAGATTGAGTTCCTTCGGTACCAGGAGGTCTACTCTAGATTGCCTCCAAATGTGGTCTGAGTCGTCCTCGTCTTTTAGTTTCTTGGTTTTATTTAGTTCGTCCGTAGAAGAGTCACTTACGTTTCTAATTTTGTTTCTGTACTGTGATATCTAATTCACCTGGTTTTTGGGTTTCTGCCACCTAGTCGAAGAGGAGTTCCACCAGACTTGCGACCAGCTGGAGATCTTTGGAGGCAATCGCTTCGGTCACAGATCATCCGGCTTGCAGGACTCCTCGTGCTGGAAGAACTTCCTTGCATTGGATTCATTCCGTCCCTGCAAGGAACTAGTTCCGTGGCGACCTCCCATAAAATCACGCCGCTGTAGACGTCGGCTCTAGAAACAGCAACAATCAGCAGAGCTATGAGCAAGCAAAAAAGGCAAAAGAATTCAATCAAACCTCAAGCTCGTTTCTGCACCATCCACTGTGCCCAGAGAAAAACTTTTAGAGAACGAACAAGCCAAAGGTCGAATGAGAGTTACTGCAGGAGATTGATACCGCCTATAGTGCGCTTCCTTTATGCGAAGGGCCACCACCTTCAATAAATAAAAAGGATGTGCGTTAGGAAGAAGAAAAAGAAATCTAGAGGTTGATCTCACCACGTTAGCAATCGAGGGACTGAGCAAGCGGACTCAGCCTTGCAACGAACACGAGCACGCATCACCAGCCTCAGACGACTGCTCTCATCCCGGCTGCCCCAAATCTGTAGAGATCGACAGAAACTTCCCTCTGGAGAAGCGACCTTGGAGTACGATTGAGGCTCTTTGCCTGGTCGGATGTTGTCCGAGACTTGCTGGGGCCGAATCACGACGAGTCACTAAGAAATTCTGAGCCAGCGGACTCGGCCGAGACCCTTCCGTTTATATCCACCGTCACCGAAAGAAGTGATTTCTCGCAGGACTGCTGCTTGCTTCACCACCCGGCTCGTTTTTTATGACCTCAAACATCTGTGTAACCATCTGCCTCGAGCGTACAAGAGCGATCCATTTCCCGGGTGATACACGTTCCAACCTGGTACTTTGACGGCGAGTTTCTTCCCTCACCTGGATTCTCGGCGCCTCGCGGAGGAATCAATCCGATCCGCCTCCAAAATCCAAAAACCCTAGAAATATGTTGGCTTTACCAGAGGTAGCGATGAAATCCTCGCTGTAAGGCGAACAGGTCGATAAGATAAAATGTTGGAAAGAACGGAGGCTGAAAGCCGACGATGAGCGGTGTTGGAATGTTGAAGCTATACCGCATCATGCAGTACAAGGAGCATCTCCCACCTCCACCCCTGACCAAACATTTGCATCTGTCGGGTCGAATCCATGGGCTTCGAGAGCAGAATAAGTTCTTGCGCTTAACCTGTGCCCCCTGGGTCCAAACGAAAATCCGTAGTGCGGGTTAGGTATGCCAAGTTGATTTTCCGAGTAAACCATTCTGTCCGTGGACCGATCCCAGAACTTCAAACCTATGACGAAGTTTGGTGAGGTCTGAAGAATCGTTTCACAACGATTTAGTAGATTCGAGAAGGATTGGGTGTTACCCACTTCTATGACACCACTAGCCGCGTACCCCATCCAGCCCAAGTTATTTGCTCGATAAAACTGGACATCAGGCTGTCTTCTATTTGGCAATGACACTGCGCCTAGAGCTCCGGCAAAACCATCCGCGTAGAATACAAAGCTCCTGCATATCATGTATATCACACCTTCGTGGCTAATACTCGTGGGCATTTTTCTTGCTCGACTTGGTTTAGTAGCCGCTGGTGATCGATCCTCGTCCGCCTTTACCAGATCGGCACCATGCCTAGTGCTCGATGTCCCTGCCTGAAGAATGCGGAAACTCCTCAAACCGGTGCCTTCCTTAGACAGCTAGCGTCGGCCACCTCTCCGCCTCTACCGCATTGAGCGCCTTTCTCCATCGCCTACCGCAGCCAGCGCCGGCCGGGCGATACCTCCGCCTCTACCAAGCTACTCCGCTAGCGCTGGCCGGGCGATCGGTGTCCCGGCCTAAGCCTCTACCTGGACCAAGGCTCTACGCCTTTCTCCAGCGGGCGATCGAAGACTCCTGGCACCTCCGCCTCTGCCAAATCGGGGCCTTTCTCCAAGCGCCGGCCAGGAATGCTTCGGAAGCGCCCATCCGAGAGAGCGGCAGCAAGAAATTCCACAGCTAGCGCCGGCCGAGCGATAGGTGTCCCTGTGAGAGACTCCTCACACCTCCGCCTCCACCAAAGCCGCGACTTTCTCGATCGAATGCAGTGCCGCGAGCGAGCGCTGGCCGGGCGATGCATGCTGCTGCTTGGAGTGTGCTAAAGACTCACGCCTTCGCATGAAGAGGCACCAGAAGAGGTAAGAGAAGTAGAAGAGGAAGAAGAAGAAGAAGAGAAGCGGATGAAGAGCGCCAGCCGAGATGATCCATCAAAGCATTTCCCGAGAGACCGCGCAGCCCGCGCCAAGACCTTCTTCCCTCTTCCAAGCACAAGCTCCGGGGAAAGAATATACAAAACGATGCTTCTTTTAAACATACTAACGGGTTTGACTGTTGAACTGCGTGGACTCAGTAAACCGTGATTTACCTTGTCCAGGCTTCCATTCTCGCTATCTTGCGGGTGAGACGGAAATGGAGGGCTCGGAGGCTTCGAGGGAGAACACAGGCCATCTTGGGCTTGGGCGAAGCTAGAGTTGCGATTCAGTACAAGTCCCTCTTGCTCGAACTCTCTTCGAATTGGCCCCAAAAGCATCTTAGCTACGCAAGCTGCGGGGAGGAGAAGCGGTTGTCCATGCCGCTGCCTTTGCTCCCAGGAAAGCCATGGAAGTTATCGTTCGATCTGGAGGATCATGTTGCCAATCCAGCTCTAACTCGATCGCAAATGAAAGTGAGCCAAGAAACTTGAGACATGCAAGTAGACTACAAGCCAAGAACGTGGAGGGAATACCACGAATGAAATAGCTATAAGCGTTTTGAAACTGTGGATCTATCTATACAAGAATGGGTCTGCGGCTTGACCCTGAGATTGACGAGTACCACCACAACCATCTGTCGAGAGGATGGAATCTCCAAACGTTTTCTCGTGGAGCATTATGATCGTCGACAACGGCCTCGCCGAGCTCTACCACTGGATGGATCATCAAGGCGTCAGGCTCGACACCCCAGGAAGAGATCGTCCAGGCCGCTGTCGACGATCTCAGCAGCGTGATGATCTGTAAAATCTACCCTGATCACATGAACAAAGAATTATTGCTGTTGTCAAGCAAATCAGTTGTCCATCTTGTAGGTACACTGTGACGAGTAGAAAAGGTGCCAGTCATTCTCCTGGAAAAATGCCTGAAAATGATAAGCTTGAGCAAGTTACAAAAATTTCCAAACTCCGGCAAGCATAATCTTTAAGAAAGGATCTGAGAGGAATGAACTTCCACCGGTTTGCTCAATCTGATAGAAACAATAGAAACACCATGAGTTAGCAATGACCTGCAAACTGGAAATCTATGCTAGATTATTCACGCTGTGCCAATTACAAGTTAGCAGTCGTAGTTGTTATTGAGACTATTCCTGAGGATGGAGAGGTGGCCATCTCGGATCATCACTTCCTCCTCCAGTTCGTGGACCCTCCGCTTCAACACCTCCGCCTCGGCGCTCATCCGGAGCGCTTCGTGCCCCAGCTGCTCGGCCTCCCTCTTCATCCCCTCGCGCTGCCGGATCACCCGCGGCATCTCCTCCCTGTACCGATTCAACTCTTGCAGCGCGTGCTTGAGCTCCACCTCCAGCGATCCCACCTTTTGACCCCTCTCTTTCACCTGGAACAAAGGCGGGTTTGTAAGAATCGCATCCCACAACATGGATTGATTCGTTACCTGGAGCTCCAGCTCGGAGATCCTGTCCGTGGCACTCTCCAGCAGCCTTCGCAAGCGAGACGCTTCGCTCTGGGCGCTGCTTTGCGCGTGGAATTTCTCCTGGACGTACTTGAGCTTGTCCTTGACCTGTGCAAAGAAGTTAGAAAGGAAAGGAAAAACCTCCAAGAGCGCTGTTGCTTACCTGCTTAAGTTCCTCCTCCCTTGCTCGCTTTCGGGCGTCCTCGTCTTTCACTCTAGTTTGCAGCTCCGTCAGCTCCCTCTCCTTCCCACGGTAGAGCCTGAAAAGCTCCTCGTTTCTGCCAGTCAGCCGCTGGATCCGGCTGTTTTGCGTGTTCAAGGCGTGCGTCATGTCACTCAGGCTCTGCTGGAGGCCCTCGATGATCTGCTTCCCGTTTCCACCACCACCACCTTTGCTCGCGCTGTGACTGGCGATGGACTCGGAGCTCCGAGGTGGAGTCTGAGGAACTGGCGGGAGCAAGCGCTTTGAAAGCTCCTTCGTCTTGGAAGTGTTCCCCCGGATCGCCTTGGCCAGCCTCTCGGCCACAGCTCGAGCGCTGAGATACCTCACCTGAGCCTTGTCACTGGTGGTCGTAACCACGGTACCTCTGGACGACCAATCGCTGAAGGAGTGCGACCGAGGATTCGACATGATCGACGCGCCGTCGTTGGAGGAACGAGAAAGCGATCTCGAGAACTTCGGCCTGGGTAAGTCCACCGAGTGCGATACCAAGTCCACCGACTGCGATACATCCGACGACGTAGAGGACAAGTTCTCCAGCATAGCGATCGAAGGAGGCGATGTTGCCGGGCTCGGGGGCTCGCTCACGTACTTTGATCGCAGCTCTTGCCTGCTCTCCACGACCAGCTGATCCAGAGCCGCCTGTAAGCCACTCGTCCACTCGCACGGCTCGGGCGAAGGAGCCGCGTTGATAGATGGTCGTAGAATCTGCTTGTCCTGGCACTCCTCTGGCAGCCCAAGCCGGAACTGGGACATGGCTTCCTCGGAGCTGGGACCATCCCTCGTGAATGAAACGTTCTCATCGCCGCTGGGAGGAGTGTCACACCTCTCTGCCTCCTCCGATGGACCCGACGGGCACGACGGGCACCAATGCGTGCGCCGGTTTCGATCGCTGATTGACGACCGCCTCAGGCTTTCTTGGTTCTTGCTATCCGGGGCCGAGAGAGCGGCGGCGGCGGCGGCGTTGGCAGCCGAGGCGGCGGGAGACCTCTCCTTCCTCATTGGCTGCTTGACCCTGGCGAGATCATCCTTTCTGCCGGGGAGAATCCTATCATCCTTAGCCGAATTCCTTCCCGGGAAGATCCTCCGCATGATCGAAGAAAAGGAAAGGACCAGAAAAGGGAAGAAGATCGCTGCCGGGATGACCGAAATATAGAGAAAAGGGAGCCAAAAAGGGAAGAGAGCGCTACGGCGGCGGCGGCGAGAAGGAGAAGAGCGGCAGGCTGAAGAATCCAAGCGATCCAGCTCGCATATTTCGGGAAGAAATAGGGATTGTACCTCCGAGCACGCGCAGGTGGATCGATCGCGCGCTTCGTGGCCGCCAATGCTTGCGCCAAGACTAAAACCCTAGAGGGACCCCGCCCTTGTGAAGAAGCCAAGAATTAGGGCTGCCAGGGAAAAGCGAGGGGTCCACGACCATGGATGATCATGCATTGCCTTGATTTCACACCCTATTTGGGACAGTGGCCGAAATCCGCCAGCTGCCAGGGAGTGAGAACGCCATCGATTTTGGAAGAGAAAAGAAAATTTGGGCCATCGTGAATAGCCATTGCTCTCGCGTGCCGAGTGACCGTTGGCCCAATTTTAAATGTAAAAAGTTTATTCTCAGGCATATTCTACAGAGTATATTCGCCAAGCAGATTCTACAAAGAGTATATTCCTTTTTATGCGCACCGTGCCTTCAGTTCTAACTGGACTTCTTATCACAGCTATCGCCGACCCAGCCGCCGGTTTCTTCGCCAAGTTTGTTCTTCGTGATCTGCGAGGAACATCGAAGTATAGAGCGATGAGAGATAAAAAAACAAAAGAGAAAAAAAAAGAGAGAGAAGACTCTTTACCTTCATCAGGCTCTTCTGGTATCGATATCCCTGTTGGAACCAACGTAAGCGCCAGGAAAAACTAGAGACTTGCATGATCCATACCTTGTCCGTGCCATACAAGTAGTCGCAGTACGTGAAAACCGACGCAAAGTTACTCTGGCTCTTGCCTCCAACAAAATGGTGGTAGTCGTGATACTCAGCTCCGCCGTAGAAAGGAATGAACTTCGTGAAGCTCCACGGGAAATCGTACCTGTGTCAAAAACGATCGATCATCTTGAGACAAAAGGAACTTCTTTAGATCTTTCTCCATTACCCGCTGTGAGTTTCCATAGCCTCGATATGTCGCAACGCAATCCAGAGCCATAGAGTAACCATATGACCAGGAACTAGAGCCGGACCTACAAAAGATGGAATTCCCAAAACCAGTATCTCGGCCCAGTGAGCATACGGGGCCGCGAAGCTCATCGGCGCCGTGAACTCATGGTGCAAGTAGTGGATGTTCTTGTATCCCCAGCCGCAGTGGAGCCAGCGATGGATCCAGTAGTTCCCATAGTCCTCGATCAAAAAATACACCGCGAGCTGGCTGACAATCTCCCCGCAAGACGGCAGTGGAAGGCTCGTCCGGAATCCCAGCATCTGTGCTGTGCATCCACCACGAAAGAATTAAGAACCCGGAAGAACAAACCAGATGGAAGAACGAGAAAAAAACTTACCTTAACCATGGGATAAGAGAGGAGCTGGAGAGGCCCGACCACCGTGCAAAAGGACCAAATCACGCTCTTGTAGCAGCGAAGAGCGTCGCTGATCGTAGTGTGGACGCCCGGCTGGAGCTTGAATCGCTCGAAGGCTCTCACCTTGAGAACGTCGAGGATGACCGTGGGAAGTGGAAGAACAGTGAAGTTTACAAAGAGATAAACGATGTTGAGGCAGTAGAGGAAATAATCGCTGCGATTGGCCGTGTGCTGGAGCCACAGCGTCTCCAGGAACGTTAGCGGCCGCCCCAGCGCCGCCTGGGCCTCTACGGCGGTGGAATAGGGAAGCATTGTCGATCGCGCTCGATCGCTGCAAGAAAAGAATAGCAGGACCTCCAATCAGCTTGTGGTTGCGCGTGGCGCGATTCAATCACAGATTGAGCTTGCAGACCTGGAGATCCGATTGCGCAGCGATGATCTCACAATTCCGAGCCGCGACAAGCCATGGAGCCCTAAGTTCGTGGCAGAAATAATATCAAATAGGAGGAATCGACGGCTCGGAAACCCGTTATCCACGTGGCAAGCGATCGCTTAAATATCACGAACTTAGGGTTTATGTGAAAGAAATGGAGGCTCTTCCTCCAGCGAGAGCCTTGCCCGGCTTCTCTGGATTCATGCCGCGGCGCTGCGCCAGGTCGATTGCCGTGAGGTCCAGCTTTGTCGATGGTCTCCAGACGCTCGGATCGCTCAGGTGAGAGCTTTGCCCCTTGAGCTATCGCATTGGCTAGAGCTCCTGCCGATGAGATATTGTCATCAGGAGTGTAGAATCGAATGCAAGATCTGTGCTCCTCGCGCTGAGCGGCGGCGTGAATCGCCAGAGTCCGTCGCTCGAGTGATTTTGTGGAGCTAAAATCCATGCTTTTCTTCTTAGATTTCGTGGTTTCTATTGCTCATTGCATGCGGATTTTCCGAAGGACTGACTCGTGACTTTTTCTTTCAGTATGAGAAAGCCTTACGAAGTGAAGCTCAAAGTCCGGGACTATGAGCTAGATCAGTATGGAGTCGTCAATAACGCGATCTATGCGAGCTACTGCCAGCATGGTAAACGATTCTAAGTTTCTGTAGAGCGCTCCAAACAAGCTCGAGCTTCTTTTTTTTTTTTTTCTAGTACGGCACGAGCTCTTCGAGGAGATGGGAATCAACGCAGACTCCATCGCTAGAACTGGCGAGGCGCTTGCGCTGTCGGACCTCTCGATGAAATTCCTCTCTCCTTTACGAGTACGTGCAAACTTCTCTTGCAAACTGTGATTGCAAGAGTTTTGATTCGCTCGAGACAGCCAGAGCGGTGAGGACTTTGTGGTCACTGCCAGGATCAGCAGCTCGTCGGCCGCTAGGATCTTCTTCGAGCAAACCATCTACAAGCTTCCAAACCAAGAGGTGATTCTTGTCCTGTGAAGTCTCCAGGAACTAAAATCTTCTCCTTTCTTCCACAGGCAGTTTTGGAGGCCAAGGCTACCGCCGTTTGCCTGGATAGGAACTACAAGCCTGTGAGAGTCCCGGCAAACTTTAAATCGAAGCTCAACCTCTTTCTTCGATCTCAAGAAGAGGCCGATGAACAGGATTGAAAGATCGCATAGCACAATAAGACCAGAGATTTCTCGAGTAAGAAAAACGATGCATTTACCTGTCCTGTTGTAACAACATTGATAGTTACATATACAATCAAGCATCCTCTTGCAAGTGGTGATGCACATCGTTTTGGCTGTCGAGCGGCATGTACTGTGCCATGATAGCTCTAATCTCCGAATCCATGTAAGACTACAGGAAAAGTTTCCAGTAGAGAACGTTAAGTTTTGCTGGATCAAGCAATCACGAATTGATATTACCCGGAGCCTGTATTTGTAAACAACGTAGCCAGCGATAGCGGCAGCTGAGAGTCCACCAAGAACAGTGAAGATGACAACCCAGCCAACTTTCGCGGTGGAGCCTTTCTTGCCTGGAAAGCGAAAGAAACCAATAAAATCAAGCCTGTGGAAACGTCCCAAGGAACTTACTTATGCAAGTATCGTGTTCTCGCATGTAAAGAAGATCACCGCTGCAAGAGCAGTCATAGCTACCGTACGTGTTCTTGCAAGTACAATCCGGGCACTGGCAGGCGACGCGCTCACGACATTCATCGATGTCTGGGGAGAGAATCACGGGAAATTATATAAGAACGTTGAAAGCTTTTTGGTTTGTGCTCACCTTCGCAAGTGTTAAAACCGTCTCCCTTGAAACCGGCGGGGCACTGGCATCCTTTCAATTGTCTATCCTGCATGCGTAAACTTTGTTTGTAAAGAGTCCTGCTAGATAATTTTCTTACCGAGCATGCTGTATGAGTTACACCATTTCGAGTATGCTGCCAGCATCCTCCATTATTAAGTTTGCATCTCCCAGGTCCGAGAGCTAAACAACGCAGTACATTAGAACTATCACAGAGAAGATAGATTTCACAAGTACCTTCACAGTGACTGTATCCATCTCCGCTGTACTGCACGCCCTGCACAATGGGACACTCGCACACTCTTCCACGGAAAGTATCCTGCAAAGACGAAAAAGCTGACTGCAAACAAGAATAAAATCTGATAACTTACTTTACATGCGGTGACGTTCGCGCTCTTGTCCTGCCAGCATCCCCCATTGTTCGTAAGGCATTCGTTTGTTTGCATATCTGAAAAAACCTTCAACGGAAGAGTCCTTGAATGATCGGAATCTACCTTCACTCAAACAGACGGCTGGCTCTGTAGTTTCTTGGAAACCCGAACAAATAGCTTTCAGCACCGCGGCTTTATCCAGCTTGCCTGCACCAAAGATATATCAGTAAGACTCTCCAAGGACTCTAGTGATACCTCTATACTGCCTGTTATTCACGATTAGTGTTGGTAAAATGGTAACGTCACCACGGCTGCCATGTCCCACCTGTGCTTCGAATGTAAGAGAAAATTATGCCTATTAGACACCACAAACCTGAGCGTCTTGCTCGGATTTCAAAACAGCATTATCCTTGTCGTCGTTTGGATTCCCCATACAGTCGCGCACCTTGTGCACAGGAATATCTGGAAGAGGCCAACATTAGAAACAGTTTTCAGCTGAAATAAGTGAAGACAAGCAGGTTCTTACCCAAAGCCTTGAGAACGTCCTCCGCGCAAGCCTCATTGTACTTCATCTCCTTCATAGGACACCGGATCTGGAAATCAGTAACGTAGTCCCACCATACCCACGGTTTCCTCTCCTCGGTAGCAACCTTGAAAACGCAGAGCTGCCTGAGATTCTCTACCACTACATCTTTTCCATCGTAGCCACGGTTAAAGTCTTGTTCTGGATCCGGCGCGCAGTATCGTCCATGATTGATGCACTGGGACTTGCACTGTTTACTCAAGATGAACGCTTGAGGACAGTACCAGGTAATGTAGTGAGGAGTGAACAGTGTGTAGCCACCTCGCTCAAGAATCTGTGCTGCTCCCTTGTAGTTCTTCACGAATTCCTTCTGTGCATCACACTTCGGTCCGCACTCGTCGTTGCTATTGGTCCAGAACTCGTATTCCACCCTGTCGTCCGGATGTGGAAGCGACTCCCTCCAGTCAAGGTTGATGTTCACCATCTCGTTGTCCGAGAGAGCCCTCTTGAGCTTATCCGCGAAACTTTTCTCGATCAAAGCCGAAGGGATCGTGATGTTTTCCACGTACTCGGACGCCGCAGAGTCCTCCTCTGGAGAGTCCATGGTGATCAGAGGCTCGGATCTATCATCCGCAACCAGTACAGCAGCCGCTCCAGCGTTTTGTGCGTTCCAAACCTTCAAAGCGAAGTAACAATCTGGAGAGAACAAATTTAGTAGAATTGAGCAGCAAAATGGAAGAATCGTGGGCTCACCTCCTCGATCGACAAGCACCACGTTGGGAAGCCCACCGGATTTCCTCCTGAAAGTATCGGAATCACTGTACGGTTTGCATGCCATCCTCGAATCCTTCGGATAAGTCACAGTTCCAACCATAGTCCCACCATACTGTGGAACACCAAAATTCCCAATAGCGCTATCGTACGTGCCTTTGAGCGAATCTGGCGAGGTCACGCTGAGACTGTTCTTCTCCACCAGGAATTTTCCATGCACGTCTGGCGCTACTAGCAGCAGCAGTAGCAAAATTGAGAGAGTAGACCATGCATCCATCCTTGATTCGCAGTGGAGCGAAATTTGGGCGAAATCCGTGCGGACGAAACACGCTACCGGTCGATACACGGCAGCAACAGCATCAAGACGAGCGAATTACAGCCGCATTCCTGGACGCTCTCCTCGATCCTGGAAATCCAAATTTCAATCAAGAGAATGAAAAATCTAGCTCTGGCAGAAAGAGATTCCCGAAGGCGCCGCTCCCGCGGTGAGATCTTACCTTCCCAGAGATCCGCGGCTCCCCGCCGCTGCCACAGGCCTCGCCCCAAGCCCTAGAGGATGAGAACCCTAGCGATGGAACAGCAAGCTTCATTGCCGCATAGCTTCAAAGGCTTTCTTTCAAAATCGTCGGTCTTACATTTGGAGTAAATTAACACTTACTGTCCACGTCATTGTTGATCGGGCACCGTATATCCACGAGGAAAACGCACGGGCGCTATTCCGGATCAGAATGCTCTAGCAGATGAAGTGCCTCGTATGGCGCAAAGTCGTCGCTAGAATATCCATGAGATGGGAATTCGTCAATGATGCGACACGAGAGCTAGAATTTAATCTAAACTCTCTCTCTTAAAATCTTCCACGCGGCACCAGTTTATTCGTTGTGTTCCCGCGCAAAATTTTGCCCTACAATCCCGACGAAGAGCTTCTCTCCGCCAAGGCGAGGAGGCAAGCGATCGAGGCGCTGATCGTGCAGCCGATGAGGGGATTTCAGCGTCGATGCGGCATTGATCGCCACCGCGGGCTACAATGCGGAAGAGCTCAAGAAGCTGTGCAACGACTCGGCAGGTTTGCGCGCTATAGATAGGAACAATTTGGAAGCGCATGGGGGAAGCCTCCGCCAAGATCCATGGGGCCGATCTGGAAGATTTCATGGTAAATCTGGCAGATTTTGATCGAGACGAGGCAAAATCTCTGTTTTGTCCAGGAGGCGCGCTTCAAAGGGTGCCTTCTGAGAAGAAATACCGAGAATCGGCTGGGATTCGATCTACGGGCCTACAAATCTTCGCAATGAGATTGTATCCTTTTTCTACACAGGAAACTTTCCAGGTGGCTTATATCTATGTCTCGACTCTTGAGGTTAATTGTTTATTGCTTCCATCTTTCAGTACCTAGGTAGTGGACGAACAAAATTTCGTGACTTGGCAATAGGCACGCAAATTTGTCATAGAGCCGTCACGCATTGGAACACCTTCGATTGTTATCGACGCTTGCAACTCTGGCTAAACGCTTCCCCAATTTCTCGCGCGCCGTCTCGAAGTGACGCTGGCAGATTTCAGCAGTGCTCAACCTGAAAGAAACACACAGGAGTTTTCCCATCAACTTCCAAGAAGCAAAACCAGGGAACTCACGAGCTCGGAGAGATGACTCCCGCTCAAGCCTTTGAGCTGAGCTGATTTTGCGAGCTTGGCCAGATCAACTCCGGCTGCCAAAAGCCTCTTAAGCGTGAGAAGGCTTTCCTTCGTCCAGGACGGCTTGGCCACCATGTCCGAATACCTCTTCCCGATGAAGAGGCTCGCGTGTCCACAGTGAAAGCTCCACTGCCTCAATCCTTGACAAGCACATAGAGCAAAAAAGGTTAGATACAAACTCTAATTGGTATAGAGTAGAGAAGTCCTGTTCGACAATCACATCATTCAACTCTTGCAAACCGTCCATCTCCACCAAAAATCGGTTCACAACACGATCAGTTCCTCGTTTTGAACATAAAGAATCCTCCTGGATAAACGTTTGCTTGAGCGTCGGAACAAACGAAACTGGAGGCTTACCTCATCAAGGCAGATAACACAAAGGCCTAAAGAGTGTTCTTCGCTGTCTTGTACTTGCCTAATAGCTCAGGCCCTTGAAATCTCGAGCTAGCACGGCATCTTTACCTTGGCACACCACTGCCTTTGCAATCAGTGTCTTGCCACAGCCAGGAGGCATAGGTCGCACCCACCATTAAATTGCTAGTAAATTTAATTGGTAATATGCTAATTATAATAATATGAACTTCACTCCACCAATGGTTTAGACCCATATTTATATATAGCAATGGATGGACCCAAATTGATTGAAGATAGTCTCTGAAAAGTACTTAGTATTAGGAATTGTGATTTGTTCTTATCTCTTGATTTAAACCTATATTATCTTTTTACCAGATTGAAGATTTATAATTATTTACCTATTTTTCCTTTGATCTTCATTGCATTTCAATTAAAGAGTATATGATTGGAAGTTGTAGTTAATACATCATTGTTGTCATTTGTCAATTGTTTTAATCACACCCGCAAAATAAAAAACACTAAAAATAAGAAAAGATATATAATCAATGCTAAAGATAGCAAAACATCAAAAATTAAAATGAATCATGCCACACAACACTAAAAGCTTGATTTGAAGAGAATTCATTGAATAGGAAGACAATGTTTACAAGCTTGAGTGATAAAGAATTTAATTATTTTGATGATAATTTTGGAGATAAGTTAAAAATTTCAAGGTAAATGTCAATCCTTTAATTTACCATATAATTCTTTTACTTTGTCTTTTGCTCTTTCTTATCCTTTTTTTTTATCTCCCAACCTTTCCTGCAAATTTATAATATTTCTTTTTCATTTGCAGCATTTTCTTCTTCTATTATGTTAATCAATTTTGTCTTTTGTGATTCCTATTCTTAATTTAATGTTGAATTGTGTACTTTATAAATAATAAAAAATAAAAATTTAAAAAATCAATTGAGATTCAAATATAAAGGAAAAGAATTCATAAACAAAAATGCACCCCCTTTCCTTAAGGGTCTTTAGATTTTAAACTCTACAAAAGGTCATTCAATTCAATATTACTTAAACTTTTAACCTTAGATATCTAAAAGATTACATTTTCCTCATATTAATTTAAATGTAAGGTGTGTTTAAATTGAGAGTCTTGCTTTTATTTTGTTGGTGAAGTTTTTGAATTTTTTTTTCTTAAATGTTGAATTATGTGTTGAACAAGCTGAATAATGTAAATAATTTTACTTATCTTGTATTGCCCAAAATACTTTATAAGAAGATATTCTCCATTATTTAGCATTTTTTTAGATATAGTCTTTTATAATAAGAATCCTCCTTCTTATTTCCCTATTTATGCTTGACAATGCTAATTTTCTTATTTTTTCCTCAAATCTTTTCTTATTTTCTTCAGACAATAGCGTTACTTATCATTCTCACTGTTTCATCTTTTAAAAGGGAAGGCATGTAATATTCACACACACACACACACACATATATATATATATATATACATATATATATATATGTATATATGTATATATATATGTATATATGTATATATGTATATATATATATATATATATATATGTATATATGTATATATATATATGTATATATGTATATATATGTATATATATATATATGTATATATATATGTATATATGTATATATATATGTATATATATATATGTATGTATGTGTATGTATATGTATATCTGTGTGTGTAACTCTTCTATTTAAAATCTTCCACGCGGCATCGTTCTATTCGTTGTTGCGAGGCATTCCCGCTCAAAATTTTGCCCTTGTTTTCGACATGGACGCTCTCGATGAAGAGCTTCTCTCCGCCAAGGCGAGGGGGCAAGTGATCGAGGCGCTGATCGTGCAGCCGATGAGGATTTCGCCGGATTTCAGCGTCGATGCGGCAGTGATCGCCACCGCGGGCTACAATGCGGAAGAGCTCAAGAAGCTGTGCAAGGAGGCAGGTTTGCGTGCTGTAGCTAGGAACGTTGGAGCGCATATGGAAGCGCATGGGGGCAGCCTCCGCCAGAGGTTCCATGAGGCCGATCTGCAACTCATGTTCGTGAGGACCGAAGATTTCATGGTAAGTCGGCTGATTTTGATTGAGATGAGCAATCTTTACTCGAAATCTTTCGATCTTTGGGCAAAATCACGAAGTTTTTCTCTGTTTTCTACAGGAGGCGCTTCCAAGGGTGCCTCGTTCGTCCAGAGAGGTTGGATTCGAAGGAATACCGACAATCGGCTGGGATTTGGTCTACGCGCCTACAAATCTTCGCAGCGAGATCACATCCTTTCTCACTGGAACTTTCGAGGTGACTTATCTGTGTCTCGACTCTTGAGGTTAATGGTTTGTTGCAGTCGGGCTATTTGCTTCTTTGTGGTCCATCTGGCTGCGGGAAAAGAACGGTGACCAAAGCTGCTTGCCATGAAGCTCGCCTCAACTTCATCTATGTGGAGGTTCTTTTCAGTTCTTTCCGTCCTTGTTTTCTTCGCTCTTGTTTTCCAGGGACGACGACTCATGATGCGAGGACCGGACTCGATCAAAAAGCTGTTTAGCCTGGCAAAGGCAGCAGAACCGACACTCGTGTATTTCGATGAGACCGAAGAGCTGATCGCAGAGAAGGACTGGGACAAGTTGGTTGAAGTGGTGAAAACGCTCTCGGCGAGTGATCACGTCCGTGTCATAATGGCTGCGAAAAAGTGAGCTCTAGCTCTCAGACAATGCTTGTTCTAGCTTCTAACACTCTAAACTTACTTGGCTTCGACTAAACTAGGCAGGCCGAGGAGCTCCAGGACGCCACGAAAACGCTGGAGTTCCAGCTGCCTGAAGAGACTGGCAGGGAAGTCATGCTGCGGACTCTCTTGACCAACAAATCTGTTGCCGACGACGTGGACTTCCAGCGAATTGCAGAGCTGACCGAGAAGTTGACATATGCGGACTTGAGGAGGCTGGTACGTTAACTGTGCTCGTCCTCTGATTTATGAAAGCTTTTACGAAACCTTTCGTTGTGCAGACCAGCGACGCCTCGGAAATATGCCTAAGGGAATTTCAAGCTCAGAAACAACTCGGGACAGGAGGCCCAGGGCGTCCCATGCTCCAGCACAAGCACTTCATGCAGGCCCTTCTTCGAGACCTGCCAGTAGATTGGTTTCTCATCCAGTGAAGATGGTAAGCTGTGACGAATTGCGAGCGACACAAACTGATGCCTTGGCTGGTTATGCAGGACCGATTGGTAGTTTAGCAGCGATCGGCTCGCTCAAAAGAAATGTAAATTCAACGAGACAATGCACGGCCAGCGTTACAAAAATCTTTTCAGTACCTAGTGGCCGAAAAAAAATTTGAGACTCGCTATTGGTCATGGTGCCGTCACGACTGTAGAACCGTGGGAACACCTTCGATTATTATCGACGCTTGGAACTCTGGCTAAACGCTTCCCCAATTTCTCGCGCGCCGTCTCAAAGTGATGCTGGCAGATTTCAGCCGTGCCTTCGTCCACGGCCGCAATGCAAGCTTGCTCAACCTGAAAGAAACAGACAAGAGGTTTCCCATCAACTTGAAATCCAAGAAGCAAAACCAGGGAACTCACGAGCTCGGAGAGATGACTCCCGCTCAAGCCTTCGAGCTGAGCTGATGTTGCGAGCTTGGCCAGATCAACTTCAGCTGCCAAAGGCCTCTTGTGCGTGAGAGCTTTCAGGATGGACACGCGAGCCTCTTCATCGGGAAGAGGAATTCGGACGTGGTGGCCAAGGCGTCCCGGACGAAGGAAAGCCTCGTCCACTGCCTCAATCCTTGAAAAGCATATAAAGCAAAAAAGGTTAGATACAAACTCTAATTGGTATAGAGTAGAGAAGCTGCTTGTCACCTGTTCGTAGTAGCAATGACAATCACACCATTCAACTCTTGCAAACCATCCATCTCCACCAAAAATTGGTTCACAACACGATCCACAGCGGTGTTTCCATCAGTCCCTCGTTTTGGACACAAAGAATCCACCTGGACAAACGTTTGCTTGAACGTTGGAACAAACGAAACTGGAAACCTACCTCATCAAGGCAGATAACACACGGACTGCACTCTCGAGCGCGCCTAAAGAGTATACGGACTTGTTCTTCGCTATCTCCAAGATACTTGCGTAATAGCTCAGGCCCCTGAAACAGACAATGTTAACTCTCGAGCTAGCACGGCATCTTTACCTTGACACTTATGAAGTTTGCTTCGGCATAGCTTGCCGCTGCCTTTGCAATCAGTGTTTTGCCACAGCCAGGAGGCCCGTGCAGTAAGAATCCAGCCGAGGTGCGCACTCCGAGTTTCTTCAAGGACGAAAGAAAATCGTTTACTTCCGAAAAACAACTGGACCTTGATACGTACCTTACACATTTCCGAAGGCGTGATACATCTCGAAATGCAGCTCTTGAGCTCTTCAACAACCTTGTTGAGACCTCCAACGTCTTCCCAGCTGATGTTAGGACGAGATGAAAAGCCTTCTCGTGTCATAGAACCTTGAACTTGAGATGCAGCAGCCTGTTGGAGACAAAAGCTATCAAAAGCTGGGGGAAAAGAACGTAAACCGGAACTTCTCACCTCATAATCCTCCATCACAGTGGCCGGCTCCTCTTTCACCGTGTTGACAAACTTCCACCACGGCTCCTTCTCGTCCGCACTACGAAGGCTTGCATTCCTGCGCTGCTCCGCTATGAATGATGCCTGTTGTGTCAGCTCGAAAAGATCCGCTGCAACAAAGCCTCTGGTTCTTTTTGCAACTCCAGTGAAGTCCCGGGAGCCTTCTATAAGTGTGTCGCGAGTCAGCACCGAAAGTATCTGTTTCCTGGCCTGCTCGTCGGGTGCATTGAGAGCGATCTCTATGGTGAGCCTGCCAGAGCGTCTGAGAGCTGGATCAATATCTTCCAGCCGGTTTGTCGTCCCTACTATGATAACATGTCCAGCACACTGCCTGCTCGCGTCCCACAAATGGTTCAGCCCGTCTATGCAAGTCATCAACTGCGTCAAGCTACGGCTATCCACATCCTTCCTCGCAGCATCTCGTTTCATAGCAACCGCATCGATCTCGTCCAGAAGCAACACGCATCTCGCAAGAGTAGCCACATCTGCGAAGATGGACCTGATAGCTGCGGAAAAAAAAAACCAAAGAAACGCTTAAGACAGTGAGCATAACTTGAAAACAACTTACCTGCACCGGAAGAAAGCTCGGCTGGTGCTACTTTGCGAATCGGAACCTCTGCCTCGTTTGCGATCGCGTAAGCCAGTAAAGTTTTCCCACATCCCGGCGGACCGTGCAAGAGAATTCCGCTCACACTTTTCTGTCGAGGAAAAGAATGCGGATTGTGAAGACGATAGATGCAGCGGTAAATCGGCTCCAGCACCCTCTCCTCGAGTCCCCCAAAATTCTCAAACTTCACATTCTCGGGAGTCACTGCTGCTGCTGCTGCTGCCACACTACCACCTTTGTCGATAGCTTCTTCTTCCCCTTTCTTTTCCAAGCCACGCTCATTCCTATTCTCTAGCTCCTTCTCATTATTCCCCTTGTAAGAAGCACGCAATCCCCGATTGAGAAGATCACTGCCGTGGCCGACAAGCTCAGCCCTCTTCCTCTTCCTAGCTTGCTGCGAGGCGGCGCCGGCGAGAATGTGATTGACATGGCGGATGACGAAGACGCAGAAGGGATCATACCTCTTGCGGCGGTACTCGGCATGATCCACGCGGAGGCGCTCCACCAGCGCTGCGATGCGCGAGTCGGAGAGGCCGAGATGGAGATCGCCGTTGCTGGCGTACTCCCGGATGCGCAGGAGCAATCCCCTATCGATGCTCATCGCATAAACCCTAAACCTAGGCCCGCCAAGATGAAAATTTGAGCGTTACTCATCGACAAAGTAAACATACGAAGATTTCGCCGCGCGCGACGAGAATTTCGCTGGATCTTCCAACTTGCATGGAAGATCTCGCGGTTTCTCTGTCGCTTGGTTCGTTTGCCGAGCATTTGACTCGATCTTTTCGCGCTGCTGCTGCCTTGATGGCGTGCAATCCAGAGGACCGGAGAGATTAACGATCTCTGGCGGGATTTGCCACACTGCTCGAGCGATCTCCTCGGCGAGATCCGCCATCACCGTCTCTGCAATGCCATACTCGTAGCGATCATCGTTGACAACCCCGTTTGCGTTTGTATAGATCGTTGCAGCCAGGAAGAAGCTCCTCCCGGTTTCTACGTCGACGACATAGCTGCGAGAGAAGGATTGCACGAACTAGGAAAACCATCGCAAGAGCTGCTTACGCGTTCTCGGTTGTGAAGCCAAATGCCTGGCCAACTTTGTTGTATATGCGCAGAGCTCCTTTGTTGCGCACCCGGCATAGCCCCGGCAAGAACAGCTGCAAGGAAATCTTTTACGATGAGACGATCAAACTAGATAAGATGGTTCTTCACCTTGCAAAAATCGTCCGGGTAGTGATAGTACTGAGGATTGGAGGACTCGGCTGGACACTGAGACATTGCTTCCATTAGCAGCTTTAATGTTTCCTCGTCCAGATCGAGAGGAGAATTATCTAACTTCATCCATACAGCAGCCAAAGCGTGAGCGATATATAAACTGATTTTACAAACGCAAACTTACGTCGATGTCCGGTCGGGTGACTTTGATCAAGAGGTTTTGGAGATCGAGAAGGCTGATGCAGTTCTTCTCGGAGAAATCCATGGGCTCGTTCACCTGGCAAGTCATTTCTTAGAAGAGTTTTCCGATCGGAAAGAAGAGAATGGATGAATAGTTACCAAGCTTCCATCTGCGATGTAAGCGTTCCCTACTTGCAGTCCCTGCGAGGGAGTGTTTCCTGGCAGAGTTAGACCACTCCGTTTCGGAGGAACAGCAGCGCGCTCTTCGAATCCAACCGGTCTGCAAGTAATGTTCATGCCACTGGACGACGAGAACTTTCCTGCGAGGTGATGGCGAAGCCTTGCGCTGGGAAGATTTGCGTGCCACCTGCAGTGTATCCGAAAGTTGATTGTGTGTGTTTTTTTTTCTTTTGTCATGCTGCTGCTTGAAAACGCTCACATTGTCTCGTTCAGCCAGCGGTGGCCAACAAAATCATACAGCCGATTGAAAGCTCGATTGTCCGAGACCTGTCAACAACACATTTATATGAGAAGGATGTAGAAAAATCCAAAGAAACGAATACCAGGAAAAGCTTTCGAAGTTCATGAGCAACAGTGATCCTTTGGCCATCCAGATTGCTCGCATCATAATGCTCCAAAAGTCCTCCTTCATTTAAAGGATAAAACTGGAGAGCACTAGAACAGGAAATCCCAGGTCCTGTGGAAACTCAACAAAAAAAGTTTCAACCGCTAACAAGAAAGAGTATGGCGAACCCATAGTCTCCCTGACGCGTCCGAGTTTTAGCAATGCTGCTATCACTCCACAGAATTTTATAGCACTGCAAAACATCCAGTTAAACAAGATCTCACAATAAGAAAACAAGAACTTATACCTGGCTGGATAGAAATACTCGGATCCAGCACGGAATCCATGGCGAACAAGGCAGGGAGTGCCGATCTCGTCCTCGGCAACCTCGGAAAATTGTACCTGGAATCGGAAATCAGCCGCATTGTCCACAATCGACCCGAATTTCTCTGGGCGCGCTCTGAGTAGGCTCTCAATCATTTAAACCCTAAATATCGTAATAAACTTACTGAGTCTCGGCCAGGGCGGGCAAAGGCTGCGTGCGTGTGTTCTCACCGTTCACTCAGCCACTAAAGGAAAAAAGATTTGCGCCGTTGCCGGGGATCGAACCCGGGTCGTCCGCGTGACAGGCGGAAATACTCACCACTATACTACAACGACATCACATTATAAATTTAATTATTACCTAGTTTAATGATTTTTGGAGCTTAATTTAGATTAACACATAACCATTAAAATCAGCAGAAAAATCAAGAATATGCTCCTACCAATCATGAGTTTGGCGGGCTTGAAATGACTTTAAATCTAGTCACAGGAACCACCACACTATCAACTACCAGTTCCATACAACAAAAATATAAAAGAAAATCTCTAGCATGGTGCTCGACATCGATGACCCTCAACAACAAACGTTCATTGAATTGGACGATGGAAACAAACGTGATTAAATCACTCTATATTCATCTATCGTGCCATGCCTGTTATAGTGCCACGTAGGCTGCTATAACAAATACGAGAGCGCGATCCATTGCTTTCTTCGGTAGGGTTCTTCGCTTCCTCCGTCAGAAACTCCATCTGGTCTTGCGGTTGTCTAGCGATTCCTGCAGAAATCTCATCGTTCTTGACAGAAATTTTTGCTGGATTTGTTTCCCCATGGCGACACTCAAGAGAGGCGTCTCGTTTCGGAGGCAGGGATCTTCGGGATTGAGCTGGGCGGAGAACTGGACGTTTACAGAGGAGGGGATGTTCCACAATCAATCCAAAGCTGCAATTGCGAGGGGCGATCAGATGATCACAAATCGTGAGCATCCTGCCACGCTTGGTCGCAGCGCTAGCACTGGCCACGGGGGAGGATCGATGAAGCATCTCCAATTTCGCAGCGCGGACGCGATGGTGGATTGCGATGGCGCTGGAGGCCAGAAATCGCGATCCCGGAGCATTCTTGGCTGGCTCAAGGGAAGAATTTATTCGAGAAAGGCATCTAAATCGTAGAACACATTGAGGGAACGTTAGAATCAAAAAGATGAAAAAATTTAGCAGATCGGAGAAATACAAAGCAGAAAAAATGAAAATCGTGGATGGCAGGATTCGAACCTGCGCGGGCAAAGCCCACATGATTTCGAGTCATGCCCGATAACCACTCCGGCACATCCACAACTTGCAGTCAACTTCATGCACAAACACATTTTACTCCCACTAGGTTAACTTTACGAACATATCGAATATACTTTCATTGACCGTCAATACATGGTTTTGGTATAAAAGAAGACAAGATCATTGTTTCATTGTACTCATGGTTTTCCGGTCTCTCTCCCTAGCTTGATCTTAGTTCGATCTCATCAATATCTACATTGTATTAGGATTCTCGTGGCTATTTTGCTTTGGGTCTTCCATGGCGACGCTCAAGCGAGGGGTGTCTTTCCGGAGGCAAGGATCGTCGGGGTTGAGCTGGGCCGAGAACTGGGCATTCACGGAGGAAGGGATGTTCCAGACGTCTCGGGGGCTGGGATCCGGGGCACAAGGCGGCGAGATCATCTATCACGAGACCTCGTCTCATCCCTCCACTCTCAACCACAGCTCGTCCGGCACTGGAGGAGGATCTCATGGGGCCGGAGGAGCATCGGCGGCGTTGGGATCGCCAGGGGACTTCGATGGTGGCGCCACCGATCTCCACCAGAGATCTCATCACGGTGTTCTTGGCTGGATCAAGGGGAGGATGAGAAAGGCCTCTAGAACTTAGATCAGAGATCTTTTCGCTTGTGGAGCTCTTGGAGTGATCTTCACAAGTACCATGTTGCTATCAGAGAGTAAAATCAAATCCATGTAAATACAAATGTGTGTTCGTGGATGGTTGGAAGATTCTCCAGCATTTGGTCGACAAAAGCCTGGCATGCCAAACAAAAGCCTCACATGCCAGGAAAAACAAGGTCAACAAAACAGCTTCCGTGAATGGCAGGATTCGAACCTGCGCGAGCAAAGCTCGCATGATTGCCCGATAACCACTCCGGCCTTGCAAGATTTGACGTGGCAACAGACATTGTGATAGGTGACGTGGCCGTAGTTTGGCGGGCTTGAGGGAACGATCTGGTCAAACGCTTGATCAAGCGGTAGATCCTCCGATAGAAACTCAATCGTTTCTCGCGGGGTTAGAATCTCGTCGCTGTTGACACAATTTCTTGTTGGAATTCGGCGACGCTCAAGAGAGGGGCCCGTGTCGAAGGCAGGGATGTTCGGATCTTCCGCCAAAGATCTGGACGTTTACAGAGAAAGGGATGTTCCACAAAAAATCCAGGATCAATCAAGCCGCGGGGGCGACTCTCGGATATCACGAATGGTGGGGATCCAGCCATGCTTTGGCCATGGAGCACGCAGGATGCATTGCGAGTTGCTGGAGGCTAGAAGTCGCGTGTTCTTGGCTGGTTCAAAGGAAGAATCTCTTCGAGAAAAGCGTCTAAACATTAGAATCTGAAAAGGAAGACATCAAAATCGTAGACCACTCTCAAGGCAGGAAGAAATGCCGAGGACTTCGCGACGGTGGTGCAGGCAAGACGATCGCGAAGATTTCCCGCTTCTCTTCATGAATCGCCCACGTAAACACTTACGATCTTTGCTTTGATTAGACTCCACGCTGTAGAACGCGAAAGAAACCAGGAAGAACGAAACCAAACTTGCAGGCCATTGCCACTAGCAAGGGACATGGAAGATCAAACAGCAACAATTGGAGCAAAAAAGAATGGCAGGATATACGTGGATGGCAGGATTCGAACCTGCGCGGGCAGAGCCCACATGATTTCGAGTCATGCCCGATAACCACTCCGGCACATCCACATTGCGTCCCACTTTCCTCAATGTGCTCGCCTTCCCCAGTTGAGCAAGTCAGCATAGCTCCACGTGGCGCGCGCTGACAAGCCCGCCATCGACATTGGTGTTTGAGAGCAACACATGCAACGCAACGCCCAGTCGCTTTAGACCGGGACTTACGCGCAACAGCGAGGACAATGCCCCTTAAATCTAGACTTGCCTCTCTTGCTTTGGGGCAATCTATAGAATGCCTCTCTTGCTTTGCGGCGAGCGACAAGCGAGGATTCGAGCTAGCGCGGTGGCGGTGGCGGCTTTCTGGGTCGAGAAAATAGGGTTCTATGCCTGAAGTTCCACTCGCGTGTCTTCTAGTCTGGCAGCGGCGATGGCAGCGATTGTCAATACCGTGGGGCCGATTTAAATTCGCTCTCAGGATTTGCTTTCACTGTCAGGTACCGTGGGAGTGTTCGTTTAGCTGTCTGTGTTGGATGCGTTCCAGTGATAGAAGTGTGTTCTCGTTTTCTGTGTTGTCTCCTAGACTCCACTTCCTCTCTTGTGATCTAAACTGGCTTCTTGGAGAGAACTCAAGCCTGGTTTCTTCGTAAAAAGCGTGAAATGTGATCGGCTTTTGTGTTCTTCTGTTTTCTCGTGATAAATCTAGCTTTACTCTAATCGGATTCGCAACCATCACCGCCAAGATCACGACCGCAACAACATCGTAAGAAGAACCACTCACCACCAATCGACGTCCATCAATGGCTTCTCTCAGCCGGGGGGTGTCGATCAGGAGGCAGGGATCGTCGGGGCGGAGCTGGGCCGACTCGCTGGGCCTCAACAACACGGTGGAGCCGGCGCAGAGATTTAGCAGTAGCAACACCAGGGGCGGCAAGGGCGATGGGATCACCAAGAAGACGATCATGGTTCCGGACAGCGACGACGATCACCAAGGCCACCACCATCGCAGCAGTGCAAAGTCGTCGACGGTGATGAACAGGAGTGGCAGCCACAGGGAGGAGCAGCGGCGAAAGTCTTCGTCTTGTTCGTTGTCCAGGGGTGGTGGTGTAATCGGTTGGCTCAAGAACAGGTTTCGAAGGGTGAGATTTTGAGAGATTCTTCATCTTCCTTTTCTTGCTTGATACGAGGAAATGTAACTTGCTAAGCCAAATTATACCATTTTGGCAAGATTTATTATTTTTGGTTTGCTTAAGCAAACTTATAAGGGATGGTAGTGAATATACCTAGAATATGCTTGGATATTTTAGGATATTTTACCATCTAACGGTTGGTATTCATTTAGATTAATCTGGTATTTATAATTTATAAACATGTTTATAATTTATAAACTTTCCTAAACCCTTTCTAGTATATTCTTTTCTATTCTATCATCTAATGGTTGATATGCAATAAGATTAATCTTGTGTTTATAAATTACAAACATGCTTATAATTATAAACTTTATTTGATCAATTAGATTAATAAGTAATAATAAAATTACCATTAAGCAAACCAAGCTTTGCTACATGCAACGCATAGCAATTTTTTTCATCTTTTATAATTAAAAAGAACTTTTCATATGAAAACATTTAAGGTCAATATTTTATATCCTTTTAGTTTAAAATGTTACATGTGAAGATTGATGTTTACACGGGATTAATAATTGCTAAAATGCAAAGAGATATATAAAATTATATATGTTACAATAAGTTGTGAGGGCCAAGTGTACAGCTACGATATTAATATTAGTGTAGTGGGATTTTGATAGCTGTTAGATTGGTTTCAATCCAAACCATTTGCTCCTGTATATAAGCTAGGGTTTTTGGGCTAATTAATATGAACATTTCTATATTCCCTTTCCATATTCCATGCACTCACATTGGTGGAGGTGAAAGGCACTTTTGATTGTCCCTAGGGAGTGCTTGGATTTCGGATTTTGGTTTGGATTTAGCTTTTGCATTGTCTAGATCTAGTTTTTTCCATTTCTTTTCTTTTGTTCTTTTCTTTCAAGATTTTGGTTTAGATCTAGCTTTTTGCATTGTCTAGATCTACCATTTCCTTCCAGCTTTTTGTCATTTATCTTCTTTTGCTCTTTCTTCGTTTGTCTTCATGGCAGATAAGCAATTTCCTCCTTTGACTCTGGAGCAGCAATTGGTACAATTGCTTGATGCTATGCGCTTGCAATTGAACAACCAAACTCAGTTGATGGTGGCGTTCACGGCACATGGTACAACTCCTCCTACTCTTGG